ACAAATATAAAGAGGTCTGAAGGGCTGGGGAGCTTTTCACCTTGTTTTCTGGCTCTGATCTTGTCCAGGTTGGGGTGGATCATAAATCACTTCTCCTGTCTGGCAATTTACCCCAATCCTGAAATCTTTGTACATCCCAGTCCTAAAATCTTTTTACCCTAATCCAGAAATCTTTTTATCCCAGTCCCCAAATCTTTTTTACCCCAATCCAGAAATCTTTTTTTACCCCAGTCCTGAAATCTTTTTTTACCCCAGTCCTGAAATCTTTTTACATCCCAGTCCTAAAATCTTTTTTACCCTAGTCCAGAAATCTTTTTTACCCCAACCCCAAAATCCTCTGGCAGTTTAGAGGAAAAAAATCAGATGGTTCTTGCACTCCTTCCTGCTCCTCAGTGGAGACAAACAGACTTTTTTGGAGTGGGTTGAGCCAACAGAAAGGCAGGAGCTGAACAAACTTGGGGGAATCCTTTGGCTGGAAACCCCTGGGGGGTGGAGGTGCTTTGCTGGGCACCCCCTGAGGGTTTCCTGGATCCGTGTGGGAGCAGGGAAACCTGGAAAGGTGGGTGTGGGGGGTGATTCCCACCCACTAATGGGTTTTTTTCCTTCTCTTGCAGGTTCACTGGGATGAATTTACCTGCCCCTGTGATCAGCAGCAAGAACTGGCTGAGGCTCCACTTCACCTCTGATGGCAACCACAGGCAGAAGGGCTTCAGTGCCCAGTACCAAGGTACCCACTCCTGCTGCTCCCCCCCCCTTCCATGCTGCTTTCCTGGGAATCCACAGCTCCATGAGCCCTCTGTGTCCTGCTGGCGTTAATTTTCCAGCTGGAATCCCTGGAAGTGTGGATTTGATGGAATCCCATAGTGGTTTGGGTTGGGAGGGAACTTAAAGAGCATTTAATTCCACCCCCTGCCACGGGCAGGGATACATCTCACTGTCCCAGGTGGCTCCAGCCTGGCCTTGGAAAGATTTTGGGACTGGGGTAAAAAAGATTTCTGGATTGGGATAAAAAAAAATTTCTGGATTGGGGTAAAAAAGAGATTTCAGGACTGGGATAAAAAGATTTTAGGACTGGGGTAAAAAAGATTTCTGGATTGGGGTAAAAAAAGATTTCTGGCTTGGGGTAAAAAAGATTTCTGGACTGGGATGTAAAAAGATTTTGGCACTGGGAGAAAAAGATTTTGGGACTGGGGTAAAAAAGATTTTGGGACTGGGGTAAAAAAGAGATTTCAGGACTGGGGTAAAAAAAGATTTCTGGACTGGGGTAAAAAAGATTTCTGGACTGGGGTAAAAAAAGATTTCAGGATTGGGGTAAAAAAGATTTCTGGACTGGGGTAAAAAAAGATTTCAGGATTGGGGTAAAAAAGATTTCTGGACTGGGGTAAAAAAAGATTTCAGGATTGGGGTAAAAAAGATTTTGGGATTGGGGTAAAAAAGATGTGTGGACTGGGATCCTCAGGTGCTGTTGAGGGCCAGGAGATGTCCTGGCAGGTGGCTCAAGCACAGGGAAGCTGCTGCCCTGGGGTTGGGGGCAGCCCTGGCCTGGGGCAGCTCCTGGGGGGGACCAGGGGGTCACTAAAAAGGGGGATTTTGGAAGGAATTCCTTGGAGCTGTTTGCAGCATTCCCTGGGATGGCTCTGGAGGACGTTGTGGCTCTGGGGGCAGGATGAAGGAGAGGGAAAAGGAAGCAGGGAAGGAGCAGGAATGAGCTGCACCCTCCAAGGGGGGGTTAGTGCAGCTCAGCACTTTTCCTCCTGGGGAATTGAGGAATTTGAGGGAAAGTGCCCCAGCTCAGGAACAGGAGCAGAGTGAAAGGGAGAGGATTTTCCCTGGATAACCTGCCCAGTTGGGATGTTCCCTGGCTGTTCAGCCTTAGCAATGTTGTTTAGCTTTGCTTTCTGAACCACCATTGTTATTTAACCCTCTTGGCTTTCCTTGAACATATAAATTACTTCAAATTATAAGGAAACCACCCCCCTTTTGTCTTCCCTGTGCAGCTGATGCCTTTTGGTAGGACATTTTCCCTCTGCTGTCAGCAGTGCTGCTTTCTATTAAAACACCTGCCTGAGTCATCCTTTCTCCTTAAATAGAAAAGTAAAGATTAATGTTATAATTTCCCCTGATTAGATAAATGTCAGGGGGTTCTAATCTCACACACTGGGTTGTCAGACAGAATGAACTGTGCTCTTGTGTGTTGAGTGTTTAAAGGATGAACTGAACAACTGTTCTTGAGGTGGCATTGAGGTAGAGCCCTGGTCTGCCTGGCAGGGGGGACCTGCCACTCGTTTTTCTCCCCTTGCTGGTTTTTGTGGGGTTTGTCAGGTTCCTTCTGTCTGTTAGGGATGGTTTCAGTACTTTATTTTCAATAATTTCATAGAATCAGAGAATCAGAGAATCAGCTGGGTTGGAAGGGACCTCTGAGATCATCAAGTCCAACCCTTGATCCAACCCCGCTGTGGTTCCCAGCCCATGGCACTGATGCCACATCCAGTCTCATCTTAAAAACCTCCAGGGATGGAGAATTCACCACTTCCCTGGGCAGCCCATTCCAATGGCTGAGCACCCTCTCTGCAAAGAAATTCTTCCTAATCTCCAACCTAACCCTACCCTGGCACAGCTTCAGACCGAGCCCTCTTGTCTTGCTGATGGTTGCCTGGGAAAAGAGACCAACCCCCCCCGGCTCCCCCCTCCTGTCAGGGAGCTGCAGAGAGTGAGGAGGTCTCCCCTGAGCCTCCTCTTCTCCAGGCTGAACAGCCCCAGCTCCCTCAGCCTCTCCTCACAGCACTTGTGCTCCAGTCCCTTCCCCAGCCTCGTTGCTCTCCTCTGGACCTGCTCCAGCCCCTCAATGTCCTTCCTGAGCTGAGGGCCCAGAACTGGACACAGCACTCCAGGGGTGGCCTCACCAGTGCTGAGTCCAGGGCAGGAATCACTTCCTTGGACCTGTTGGCCACACTGTTCCTGATCCAGGCCAGGATCCATTGGCCCTCTTGTCCCCCTGGGCACACTCTGGCTCCTGTTCAGCTCCCTGTCCATCCCCACTCCCAGCTCCCTTCCTGCCTGGCTGCTCTCCAGCCCCTCTGGCCCAGCCTGGAGCTGCCGGGGGTTGTTGTGGCCAAAGTGCAGGACCCGGCCCTTGGCCTGCTTGAACCTCATCCCCTTGGAATCAGCCCAACTCTCCAACCTCTCCAGGTCCCTCTGCAGAGCCCTCCTGCCTTCCATCTGATCCACAATCCCTCCCCAGCTTGGTGTCATCTGCAAATTTGCTGATGATGGACTCAATCCCCTCATCTAAATCATCAATAAAGATATTAAACAGAACTGGGCCCAACACTGAGCCCTGGGGACACCACTGGTGACCAGATCCCAACTGGATGCAGCTCCATCCCCACCAGGCCCTCCAGCCAGTTCCTGACCCAGCACAGGATGCCCCTGTCCAGGCCTTGGGCTGCAGCTTTTCCAGGAATCTGCTGTGGGGGACTCCAAACAAGAAGCCAAGCAGCAAAAGCTCCCAGATCCAAGGGCAGGACATTTGCAGCCAGTGGGATCTGTGGCTGGAGAACACGAGGTGCCCAAGCACAACCTCCAAAAAAACCCAGCATGACCCTTTCCTTGGGAGCATCACCTTGCCTGGACCTAAATATCCCAGTGGAGAGAAACACCTGCAGAACAGGCCATGTGATGCCATAGAAAGGAGAGCAACTCCACTGCATTTTTCATCAGGAGAGATGAATCAGAGCCCAGGCTGGTCCAGGAGAAGGGAGAGGAAGGGTGAGGGGGAATCTAATTTGTTGTCTGTTTTCCGAAGATGTGTAAATACATCATTTATTAACACCCTGTGTCCTCTGAGACGGGGTCTGGCTTTGCTGATAATCTATAAGAAAACAATTTCCCTTCCAGCTTGTTTAAATTGATCCGCAGTTTTTTGCAGAACACCCTCGTTGCCTGTTCCCTCTCAGCTCCTCCTAATCCGTGGCCTCGTTTGGAAATCACTGTGTGAATGTAAAAGCAAGGTTAGATACAATCAGCCTGTGCAGAGGGTTGGTTTTTTTGTTTAATACAGCACATTTTTCCCTTCCTGGCAGAGTTAAATATTTTCCCTTTTTCCCTTTTATTGAGGTGAATCTTGTGCTCCTGCAAACACTTTTCCCCCCCAATGCCCCATGAGAGCAAAGTGGAAGGGACTGGAGAGAAATCCATGCACGGGGTGTTTTTCCTTCCTCCCTCTCTCCCCTTCTGCCATCTCCCAAAGGTGCCCTGTGCCTGCAGGGGGAAGGACATGGTCTAGAAGTGCCTGTCAGGAGAGGTGGCAGCACAGCCAGGTGTCCTCTGTCCCCCCTGGCAGCTGGAAGTGCAGGGATGGAGAAGCTGCTGAGTTGGGAGCGGTGCAGGGGAGATGTGGGTGATGCTCTGGCTGCTGCTCTCCCTCCCTGCACGTGTTTTCTTGCAGGAGTTGGATCCCAAATTGCTTTTCAGCTGATTGTTACCAACACATAATTGCCCATCCCCTTCCCCTCCCATCCTGCCCCTCCAGGAGATGGGTGGGGTGAACTGCAGCCCGGGGCAGGGAGCAGATCCCAGCAGAGCTGTCACCTTGACAAGGGGCTGGTGGACTCTCTGTCCTACCTGTGCACCACAGAAATGGCTTTTTGAGGCTCTCACAGAGCCATGGAATGGAGTTGGGGTTGGAAGGGACCTCAAAGCTCATCCCATCCCACCCCCTTCCACACCTCCCACAGGTTGGTGCCAGCCCCACCCAGCTGGGTATGGACCAGTTAGGGATTTATGGGCTTCATTTTTGGCACATCTTCCACTCTTCACCTCGGATCACACCGTTGTGTGATCCCCACAGGGGCTCTGGCTCACCTTGGACAACCTGTGGAGCCTCCTGGGCAATCCCATGGCAGGGACAGGGAAAATCCTGGTGCTTGTGCAGGTTCTGATTCCTGGAGAGCCATTCCACAGGTTGGCTAAAAGAAGATTTTTCCAAACAGTCGATTTGAGGGTGATTTTCTTCACCTCCAATGTAAGAACCCCTGTGAACAAGCTGTCTGTTTTTTAATATCCCAGGTGCTGGTAAAACATCCCAGGGGGAGGAGGAGAAAGTCAGGCAGGCCTGTATTTAACAGCAATCCCTCAGCAAGGAGAACAGAGATTCCTGGAATAGATATTTTTTTTTTTTTTGTTATTATTATTTTTTTTTGCTGAAATGCTGTTTTTCCAAAATTAAAAATAAATAAACGTGTTCTTAAATTCTCATTTAGAGCAACATGAAACGGTTTAAAAGAAACACCCCCTGACTGGCTGCTCACTGGAAAAAGCCTTGTAATGTCATCTCTCAAGTTTGACAAGGATGCTGAGTGTTCCATTAGATCTTATTGAATGTGTGTGAGCAGCAAAACCCTGCAGAAAGCAGAAGTTTCTGTTCATCCAATTATCCTGACACAGCCCTTTGTAGTACTGCTCCACATTCCGACTTACAAACAAAACAGGTTTTCAAATACCAGATTTTTTGAGGGCAGAGAGCAGGAGAACTGTATTTATTTATTTATTTATTTATTTATTTCCCTAAAGTGAGTGCTGCTGGATTGTGCCTTGTTTAATCTAAACTGAGTCATTTGTAAAGCTTGGCTTTAATCATTGTCTCCAAACAAAATGAAGGATTAAGGGCAGAGGGTGCAGAGATCCCTCTTGATCAGTTGGATTTGAAAGGGACACGATGCAATTAGGGGAGAATTAGGGTGCTGCAGTCCTGGATTTGGGGTTGTGCTTGGTAATGAGTGTCTGGTGTGTGCTGCTCCTTTTCCTTAGTGCTGGAATTTGGGAGCCTTAGGCCCAGCTTTGGAGGGGGGTGTTTGTCACCTGGCAGGGCTGAACATGGGGCAGCTTTGGTTGTCAGGAACTCTCCATGCCTTGGAGAAGCCAGGGAATGATGTGGGTTGGAAGGGACCTCAGGGACTACCTTGTTCCACCCCTTTCTGCTGGATTTGGGATGTTCAGCTGAGCAGTTGGGGTGTCCTGACCCTGGAAGGGACCTCAGGGACCATCTTGTTCCAGCTCCTTCTGCTGGATTTGGGATGTTCAGCCCTGGGGAAATGCTGGAGTTGAGCAGTTGGTGTGGGTTGGAAGGGACCTCAAGGACCATCTTGTTCCACCCCCTTTTGCTGTATTTGGGCAGTTGGGGTGTCCTGATCCTGGAAGGCCCCTCAAGGACCATCTTGTTCCACCCCTTTCTGCTGGATTTGGGATGTTCAGCCTTTGGAAAATGCTGGAGTTGAGCAGTTGGGGTCCCTTCCAGGGTCAGGACACCCCAAGGACCATCTTGTTCCACTCCCTTCTCCTGGATTTGGGATGTTCAGCACCAGGGAAATGCTGGAGTTGGGCAGTTGGGGTGTCCTGACCCTGCCAGGGCTGTGTTACCCCCCCCCTCAGCACCAACCCCAGCCCTGGGTGGGGGCACCAGTGCTTGGCATCTTTGCCTGTCCCCTGAGGCTGCAGGTTCCCTCCCCACCCTGTGCTGTGCCAAGGGTGGGTTTGCACAAACATTCCTCTGGACAAAGAGACTTGGCAGTGGGAAGTTGTGGAGAGCATAAAAATGGGGATTATTTTTGTAAAGCTGCCCCAAAGCAATGGATTAAGACCCTGTAAAATCACCCCAGCACATCCTGCAGTAGCTCAGATTTAGCCTTGGATGCTCAGACTTGGCTGGGTTTTATTGGCTGGAACTGCAGGGTTATCCCTGGGCTTGCTTGGGAAGGACTGCAGTGTTCTGCAGGATACCCTGGTTGAGGCAGGAATAGGGGTTTTGCCCCAGAAATGTGAGTTTTGGCAGCCCCGTGTCCTTTCTGTGGTCCCTTGATGGCGGATTTGTTAAAAACCTCGAGGTCAGGCTGCAACCACCCCGTGACCTGCAGGACTCTGGGGATCTTTGGGGCATCCTGAGACCTTCTGCTCCCCTCCTGCTGCATTTGCAGGTGGATTTAGAGTCAAAAAACCCAAGTGTTAGATTCCCTTTGATAGTGGCCTGCTGTTAATTAGTTTTCTCCTCTTAAATTAAAAACTACACAACCCCCCCTGCACAGGCTGAAGATACCAGTGCTGGTAAGGATGATGTGACTTTTCCTCATGAATATTTTTTTAAGCTGGTGCAGGGGGCTGAGTTTGAAGTTCTCCCTGCTTTATTTAAAGAGAAAGCAAAAAGCTGTAAGCAAATGATGAATGAAAAGCTCCCATCCAGCCTCTCTCTCTCTCTCTCAAAGCACTGCCCCAGGTGAGCTTCAAGGAGTGACAATCCACATCTCCCTGTCTGAAGCTCCCCCTGAACAGATGTTCCAAACAGGCTGGTTTTTAAGCCAAAAAAAAATAAAATGGCATGATTAAAAAACCCCTTGTTAGTGACAGGGGTAATTCTTCCTGACAGCTTTGTCTCTGGAATGTGCTAATTTAGGGATGAAAGGATGACAAGATGAAGATAAAGAGGGGAGAGCAGTTTGAAGTGGGAGATGGGCTGGTTTGCTCCAGGAAAAGGCTCCTGGAAAGGGGTTTGGATGTTGTGCTTCCTGCTGGGAGGTTGTTCCTGTTGGACCTTGGGCACAGTCACCATCCAGCTCCTCCTGTGGCTGTTCATGGTGGATTTACCCTTCTCTTCACCAATAATATGGTTTTGTTGGGTTTTTTTTTCCCTGCTGTTTTATTGCCTTTTTGAGCCTCACACTCCCCCAGGCCATATTTAGAGTTTTTGGGTTATGGAAGCAGAGAGTGGCTTTGCTGTGTGATGGATCCATGGAAAAAAACTGCATCAGGAAAACTGGGTGGAACTCACTGAGCATTTCCCTCTCAGGGTCCCTGAGGTTTCTCAGGGCTTCCCTTTTGCCCCTCTCCCATTTGTGGTGTGTTAATGGTGTGGTTGCAGAGGGATGGAGGGGTCAGACCCCGTTTTTATCTTCAAATAAAAGCTCTCCAAGGACACCAATCCAGCCCTAACATGGTGAATGAAAGGGTCCCTCGTGGTTTGGGGGGTCAGGGTGAGTTGTCTCAGCCACCAGGGAAGGATGCAGGGGGTGGGTGATGTACAAGTGTCGCTTCATTTTCTTTTTAACCAATCCCTGATGCTCAGCTAAACCTTTTCCTTGTCTTCCCTCTGTTTTCCATCTGTCCCTGCAGTCAAAAAGCAAATGGAGCTCAAGTCCAGGGGAGTGAAGCTCATGCCCAGCAAGGACAACAACCAGAAGACATCAGTGTGTAAGTTTTTTGGCTCTTCCTTCTCTGTCTTTCGTATAAATGATCTCCTTGAACATTTCATTTGACTTCCAGTAATCTTCTAAAACTTTGTCGTGATGCTTTTCCCTCTCTTCCCTCCCCATTACTGCATCACTTCCTCCCAGTGCTCTGCTCACAAGCATTTACTAACTAACTCCTCAGAGTGGCCTGGAGGGGACTGGGGGCTGTGTGTGGAATATTTATATGGAATATATACTGTATTCTGCTGCTCAGTGACAGGCTTTGGATGCCTTTTAGTGTGGAAAGTGTCCAGCTGGAAAGAACTTGGAAAACTGAGTTAATGTTGCTGTAAAATTAGGAGTAGGGATAAAGAACAGCACCAAGAAGACCTTTTAGCAAGCCTGCAGAGGTGGCAGCAGTCTCTTTCTCTTTCTATTTGAATTTTATTCAGTTGTCCCTGCAGAAAAATCGTGGCAGTGCTGGGCTTGTACCACTGATTTTTGGGTCTCCCTGTTTTGGTGGCTGTGTTTAGGGCTGGTGTGTCAGTGTGTCCCTCTAGCAGGAGGGGAATCCTTTAGGTCCATCCATCTTTCCATCAGGTTCTTCTTAAAGCAGAAGCAAAACTCGGAGCTTCTTCCCGTGTGTGACTCTGGACAGACCTTTGGGCTCCTGAGGGGACCCTGAGGTGGAACAGGAGGGATCTGAATTAATTAATGAAATTAATATTTTATATGAATTCAAATGGGAGCAGAGTGGAACATGGTTTTCCCTCAGTTTTTAGGGGAGAGGGTGGAATTGCTCGTGTTGGTGCACAGTCCATGACATTTCACTGGGTTGGATTTTGGACACAAAAAACCGAGTCAAGAAACGATGGGCTGGATTTGGAATGTGCTTTGCTGTCTGTCTGCAGTGAGAGTGGCTCACCTGAGAGTGCTTTTAGTCTCTGGTTTTTCAGGAGCAAGACCCAACAAGGCAAATAATAACTGTAAATTGCCCAAAATCTCTAGAACAGAAAACGTTGGGGGGTGTTTAGAGGGAGTGGATTCAATTTTAAAGAAAAACTCGGTGTGCAAGATGTTCCTGGCTGGGTGATTTATGCTTGCCAAGAAGAATTTAATTGTGATAAACATTCCAGATCACTTAACTGAGTATGAAATTCAGTTGGAAAACACCAGTGGCTCTGTGTGGAGACAGAGGGATGTGTTTGGAGTGGGGGGGTCTGATGTCTTGGACGTGGGGAATGTGGGGAAGGGGATGACAAATGTCAGCCTGGCTTCGAGTCTTTAGTTGACAGAAGTATTCTGGTGTTAAGAATATGTAGGATTCCCATTTCTCCTTCCCAGGAATGCTCAGCTGCTTCCCTGGAGCAGCTTTTACCCATTTCTAACACTCTGTGTGGGCTCTGGGAATGGTGCTGAGTCCGAGCAGGAGACAGCAGTGAACCCTCTGTCCCAGTCCTGCCTCTGCCCAGCTCATCCTCACCTGCCAGAGCAGCTCCAGAGCTGCCAGCTCAGCATCCTTTGAGTACTGATCCCATCCTGGGGATCAACCCTGGAGCAGGGAGGCAGCTCAGCATCCTTTGAGTGCTGATCCCATCCTGGGGGGATCAACCCCAGAGCAGCTCCAGAGCTGCCAGCTCAGCATCCTGTGAGTGCTGATCCCTTCCTGGGGATCAACCCCAGAGCTGGGAAGCAGCTCAGCATCCTGTGCCCTGCTGATCCCATCCTGGGGATCAACCCCAGGATTGGGGTTCAGAGCTGCCAGCTCAGCATCCTGTGAGTGCTGATCCCATCCTGGGGATCAACCCCAGAGCAGGGAGGCAGCTCAGCCCGAGAGCTGCCAAGCTGTCCTGGTGTAGATGGTGCCAGTGGCCCAGATTCTGTCCATCCCCACCCCCCTGGTGCCTCCAGCCCCCTCCCAGTGCTCTGGATTGCCAGCCCTGATTAACCTCTATCTCCCACGGCCTTCTGCTCCCCCGCTGCTCCCACAGGGAATGTTCCAGCTGCAGGAGTGCTGATTCCAGGGAAGATGCCGCCAGGAAATGGTGCTTTTTTCTCTCAGCAGAAGGAGCCCAGAGTGTTATCTGCTCCTTTCCCCTGGTGGCTTTGATTTGCATGGTTGGCTGTGCCACTTCCACGAGGCTGCATCCCAGAGAACTGTGCAGGTGGGACGGGCTGATAAAGGTCACTGAGGGTTGCTGGAGTTGCTCTGGCTCAAAGATGAGAAATTTAGGAATGCCTGTGTCTCCTGGTGACAGCTCTGCCACAGAATCACAGAGTCATTAAGGCTGGAAAAGAAAAGATCTCTGGGATCTCATAGAGTCCAACCTCCAAGTCTGGGCTTTACTCTCAGTTATTCCCTTTGCACCTGCCCCAAAATCCTGCCTTGCAGAGTTTCTTCTTAAACCCTGCAGGTCTTGCAGAGAATTTGGGTTTGACTGGGTGGACACTGGGGTTGGGGTCACCTGGCCAGGGTAAACCCTTGTGTTTTGTGGGTCTGAATGGAGGCAAATAAGTCACATCACAAGTGCTGGTGCTGTTTGAGGGGTAAAAACCCACATAAAACTCTGGAATTTCGGGGGGAGGCACTTCCTGTGTTCAGTTGTAGTCAAATGTGTTTGTTTGGAATTGTAATCAAGTGCCTTGTGCTGTTCACCATCCCTGAAATAATTTGGACATCTCGCTTTAATCACTTTTAGAGGCAAAATAACACAGCTCTGGAGTCTGAGAGAGAAGAAATAGTTTTCAGTTTTAGGTTGTGTTTTGGAGGTTGTTTCTGTTCCTGTTTCTGTTCCTGCACACAGGGTGTAAATGGGGACACTCCAGTGGGAAAAAAACCCATGGTATTTGTTCTTACAAAACAGCACCAAAGTTGCTTTTGTGACCTTTGAGGTGCTTTTGTGACCTTTGAGGGAGGCCCCCCCTGAGCAGGCACTGCTGGGGGGGACTGGGAGGGCTGGGATGGAGGAGTGAAAGTTCTGTGCACCTTCAGATCTGTCAAAATCTGTTTTAATTGTACATTTTGGAGGGGTTGGAGCAGTTTTAGGTCTCAACCAAGTGTGTGAAGTTCTGGGTCGTTGCAGCAAGGCTGCTTTGGCATCAGGTGGTGGGGGGTAGTTCATGTTTTATGTTCCTAAATTCAGTAAAAACTTGTCCCCTAGGAGTGTTTCAGTGAAGTTGGTTAACCTGGGGAGATATCAGAGAACCAAGGAAGGTTCTGAGTTCCTTTTAAACAGATTTTTAAGAGTAAATTCCTGTGGCAAAAAAAAAGAACAATCAGGAACTGGCTGTCGTCGAATTCCCGGTGGGAAAAGCTGTTGGAAAAAAATCAGGGGGAGAACGAAGGGGTGGAAAACGAGTTCCATACTTTGGGGGAGAGAAAATCCTGGGAGTTCATAATGTAGAAATGGAACAGTTCATCCCAGCTGGTGAGATCCATTGTTTTTCCAGTGACCTTGAAGGATTCCTGTGGGGGTGGAACAGCCCAGCACGGATCAGTCAGAGCCTGAGGAAGGTGAACACAGGGCTGACAGTTCTCAGCATGACAAATCTGCTTCCTAACCCCTGAGTTAGTTGTGTGTCTGAGACAAAAGGGAGAGAACAAAAGTTTCCTGTGAGTGACCATCTAATCCATCTTCTTCCCTTTCTCTTTCCTTCACACTAACAAGGAGAATTCCCCGAGTTCCCATGATATGGAGATATCTTTCCTTTCCCCCTTGCTCAGCTTTTATCTTATCTGTTCTCTGCTTTATCTACACGTGTTCTGGAGGTGTTAATAAATCTCCAGCTAACAAGAGATTAACTGGTTTTAGCCTTCAGAAGTGTGACTGGCAGCTGACAACCTGTTTTTCCTGGTCATCTGCAGCTCTGGGTCCTCCCAGGGCTCTGAGTTGGAGATTATCAAATATGGGAATTAATAACTGGCTGTGAGAGTGCAGAGTAACCCACCCAGTGGGGTGGAAGGGGTTGTCTGGGGGGGTTTGTTGACCATGGGAGGAAGGATTTGCTGTGGGAAGGGGGTTTGTTGTGCCAGAAGAGCCCCCAGAGCTCAATGCACGGTGTTTGTCTGTGTTCCAGGGGGGGATTCTTCAGGGGTTTTTTTTACTCTGGGCAAGGCACAGGAGGAAGATGAGAAGTCACAGCACTTTTCCTTCACTCCCACGTGGCTTTGTGGTATCCAGCCTTAGCCTGGGGGGTTGGTTTGGCTTGGTTTGTGCCCAGGGGTCACAGTGGGTGTGGGTAGAGACTGAAGACACCCCATGGAAGTCGGTGCCACCCGAGGACTTTGCTGAGCTGACCCTTCATTTTCAGGAGCTGCTGAAAATGTGGGTGTTGAAGGCAGGGGCTGCTGCTTTCCTTTGGCCTTTGGGGGGACATTCAGAGGTGGCAGCAGTCAGAGGGTTGTGCTGCTTTCACGCTCCCCCCTCCCCACCTGACTGAGCTTAACATGAGGTCGTGAACATGCAGAGGAGGGAAAACAGCCTCTGAGGAGCCTGGTTTCCATGAATCCATGTTTCTGCTCCCTTTGTGCCCTCAAACACCCAGAGGAGAGCACAGAGCACCAAGGTGAGAACACCAGGGTGCGAACACAGGGGACAGCCCCATCCCTGCTCCAGCACAGGGTGGGAAGGGAGGCCAGGAGCTAAAAAAAGCCCTTTCAGAACTAAAGGGCACAAGATGAGATGTCAGTGCTGAGGAGAAGGCCAGGGGCTGGAATGGTTTTGGCACAGCAGCAGCAGTTGGGTGCAGACAAAAGCCCTGTCCCAGCGATCCTCCCCTCCTTGCAGGAACACTTCCATCTCCCAGCTGCAGTCCCTGGCTACTCCAGGTGTAATTACCCACTGGATAATTACCATATCTGATGGTCTTGGCTTTCTGTGTGTCCCCCCTGTGCAGTCTGTGCAGACACCCCACATGCTTTATCTCTCTCTCTCTCTCTCTCTCTCTCTCCCTCTCCCCTTCCTCTGTCCCTGTTCTCCATCTCCTGCCGGGCTCCAGCTCTGGAGCCCACGTGTGTGTCGTGAGGAACGTGCTTTTGTCACTGCTCCATCACCCATCTGGCCCTGGCCTTTGGGGCACTGTGCCAATGCAGCGTGTTGGGAATTAGGATTGGGCTTTCCCCTCGAATCCAGGGATAGGCAGAGGCAGGATGGAAATCCGGGTGTTTGAGATTCACACCAAGGAATGGCGTGGTTTCCTCGGGTCCTCCCCTTGGTACCATCAAATTCTGCAGCTTCTGTGGCAAAATCCCCTCTTTGTCCCTTTGGGAGTTGCTGGAATTCCAGGTGGAAATCAGGATTTTGCCCCCACCCCTGGACGCTCGGTCGCGCCTCGGACGAGGCCGGAGAGGGCTGGGAATGGGGAGGTGGAGAGTGGAGCTGGATCAGCACTGGGTCACTCCATGATTTCCATGGTTTCATGGAAACTCCATGGCTCTCATGGTCATTGGCAGTTACTCTGAGGTCGCTCCATAAGATTTTCCACGCTCAGACATAAATGACTCGCTCGGAACCCCTCGTCTGGCATTTCCCCCCCTCCTTTCTGCCTTTTGTTCCGTGCTCGGGTTTTTTTTCCCCCTGGTATCACACACCTGCCTTTCCATGGAGCTGGTTTCTTCCCCTGGCACCGCTGGCTCGGGTGTAGGGTGTCACCTGGGTGGCTCTTTTAATCCCGGGCTCCAGAAATGGGCTGGTTAATTGGGGTGATTTCGCAGAATATGGGGGAAATGAAAAACCAAATCCCAACTCGTTTCAGAGGTGCTTCTGTAGTGGAACAGAGGGAAAACCGTGTCCCTAGCTGTGGTTTCCTAGAAAACACTTTGGTGCACGAGCTGAGCTGAAATGATTCCAGGGTATTCGTTTCCAGAGCTGGTTTTCCTTCCCTCACAAAACGGAACACGTTCAGGGTTTTCGAGCTGCCGGTTGCCATTTTTTCTCTCCACATCCACCAAAGACAGTTGATGAAAGAATGTTTCTTTTGCTATTCTGTCTCTGTATGTGCTGTTTTTTGCTTTGTAGTAACTCAGGTTGGTGTGTCCCAGGGACATAATATGTGTCCAGACCCTGGGATTCCAGAGAGAGGCAAAAGAATAGGCAACGATTTTAGGTAAGAATCTTTTCCGTGTGGGGGTTTGTTTTTTTTTTGCATGCTGCCAAAGCTCCTGTTCTGTGCCATGTTTGTGCTCCTTGGCGTTCTGGAGTCTGTTTTCAGAGACCATCTGCCCACCTCTGATGTGTCCTCTCTGAAAATCCTGCCCACGTTAGGGAGGAGGAGAATAAATGTGGATAAATATGTGTCCCACCTGAGCATCTGGGGTGATCTCTCCGAGTATTTACCCTCTGACAACCCAGGTTTTTAGCCAGGTTGTACAATCCATGTGTATTGTCATTCCCCCTCTGGTTAAGTGCAGGAAAACTGCCTTTAACAGCCAAAAAAAATCACTTTTCATATCAGTTTATCCCCATCATGGCCCTGCCCCGAGAGAGTTTGAGGTGACTGATACAGTTCCTTGTCAGTGAGTGGATGTGGGGGGAGATAATTGTTTTTTTTATAAAGTTTCAAACAATGCTGTTATTCCCTTCCAGTTGCAAATGTTCCTTTCCAGTGGGTAGGAGTGACCCAGCCTATGGTCAGCAATGGGGAATAGATATTTAATCTTATTTTGCTGGTGGTGGCTCTTTTGGTCACAAAAAGTGTCTTTCAGTTGAACCCGAGTTGTACCAAGTTCTCCTGAAATCCAGCAAAGGGGTAAAGGTGGAGAAAAGAGAATTCCCAGTAGTCCCTAAATGCCCCAGGATAAAGTCTCCCAGCTGGATTGTGTCTCCTGGGGGAATAAGGAGGGAATAAGGGGGAATAAGTCAGTGAAGGGGCTGGATCCCAAACCCACAGAACCAAGAACAAACCTCTCAGCAGCAGATAAAGAACATTTTTTTTCCCACTTTTTCACATGAGATAAAGAACATTTTTTTCCACTTTTTCACATGAGAATGCTGAGCACGTCACCTCCTGGGGCTGTGTCTGTGCTCCCACACGGGATGGAATTCCTGGGAAGGCTGGAATGTGCTGCTGGAGCTCAGGCCCCGGGGCTGTTCCTGCAGAATTCCCGGGAGCTGCTCTGGGCACGGGGTGGGGGCAGAGGGGGCAGAGCTGGGCCAGGAGTCCTGGGAATTGATGTCCTGCTCCCCTTCCAGGTTGGGCTCCAGCATCCAGTTCTCCTGCAACGAGGGCTACGACCTGCAGGGCTCCAGGAGCATCACCTGCAAGAGGGTGAGCGACCTCATCGTGGCCTGGAGCGACCACAGGCCTGTCTGCAGAGGTGAGGAGGCACAAAACTCAGCTGGATTACTGGGATTGGTGGGAAAACCCCTCCCCTCAGGCTCCCCTGGGAGCATCACACCCTCCTGCCCCCAGGTTTGGTGTCCCTGGGTGAGATCGTGAAGCCCCTGGATGGTTTGGGTTGGGAGGGACTTTAAAAGCCACCTCATTCCAAGGGCAGGGACAATTCCCACTGTCCCAGGTTGCTCCAGCCTGTCCTTGGACACTCCCAGGGATGGGGCAGCCACAGCTTCTCTGGGCAACCCGTGCCAGGGCCTCCCCACCCTCCCTTTCCCATTATCCAAGGGTCATCTCTCTATTCCAGGTATTGCCTTTTAGGGGACAAGGAGGAGAAGGGAAAAAGGGTGAAAGCCTGGAATAAAATCTGGAAAAGCAGAGATGGAGGGAGATTTTTTTTGAACTGGAACTTGCTGCTCTTGGGCATCCAAGTGGGATTTTTGGGCTGTGGTTCCTCAGTAGCATCATCCTGTGCCATGAGCCATCCCCCAGTGGAGTTTTCTTTCAGTGGAGGAGTTTTTCTTTCAATGGAAAACACACTGATGCCCATTTTGCCCTTGGCCATTTTGTTTTCATTCCCTCTCCAAAGAGTTCCATGAATAATGTGATATTTGTAATGCTAATAATGAACAACTTGTAATATTTTTAATGAAATCCCTTTAAAGCTCTTAAAGTCATAAATAGGTATTTTTTTCAGTTCTTTTTTTTTTTTCTTTAATTTCATCTGCAGATTTTTTTCAAGGCTTTGGAATCCCATCTAATTCTTGAAACAAGCCTGGAATAAATTGAATCAGTGTAAGAGGATATTTGGCATAAATATGTGACACTATAAAGGAAATTTATGGTGTCCTCTTGCAAGAGATAAGAAAGGATTTGCCTCTGTTATTGTGTCTCTTTGAATCAACTTAATTTTTTTAACTGCTGACTTTTGTCTTGTGCTTTTTTTCCTGTTTAAAAAGTTTTCCATTTGCTCTTTTATTTCAGTTCCATTTTCCCTTTGGGTTTCTCTCCAGTTGGGAAATCCCAGTGAACAGGTTTTAACCCTGGGCTGGGAGAATTTCTGATCCCCAGGGATCAAACTTTGAGCCACTGATGGGAGACTTCTTTCAGCTCCCCCACCTACAGCAGATTCCCTCTGGGTTCTGGGAACACCACTTAAAAAATAGGAATAATGGGATTTACCTTTTTTTTTGTTGAGATCAGATGGGACAGCTCCAGGGTTAGGCAGGAGGGATGTGATTTAGCACCATGGAGAGATGCCCTCAGCTCCTTCCCGACCTGCTCTTGCTGTTCCACATGTTCCCCTCTGTCCCAGCCTGGCCAGGAGATGGTTTTCCACGTTTTCCTGCAATTTGGAGTGGTGGGGGAAAAAAAAAGCCTTGCAGATGCCACGTATGCAAATCTTTCTCCTTTGAGATTTGAAATAAATTTGAATTTTGAGGCTCCGTCCCCAGAGCAGAGGCAGCTCCAGAGCCAGGATGCTGCTCTTCACATTTCCTGCTGAAATATTCCAGCTAAATATTGCATCAAAGGGATACCACAGGCCAAAATTTCCCTGTTTAAGCACTTTCCAGCTCCTCCTTTACCTGAGATGTTTTTGAGATGCAAAGCTGAGTTGCCATCTCGGTTCTGAGCCCGCGGTCGTGCCTGAACGAAACCAGCCTGATAAATACTTAATAATTACATCATAAATTCTTGCCATGCAGTATGTTTTTTTTTTGATCTACAAGAAGAAAGGAAAGATGGCTTTTTTTGGGAGGGGACATGAAAAAGGAGCTGCATCTCAGCCAGAACCTTCCACGTGATCGGCTGCGAAACGATTTTCGCGAGGGCTTTAGAAAGAAAAAAAAAGATGAATAAAATAAGAATGATCAGTAAAATGGTCTTCAATAAAGTTGGAGAGTGTGAATAAAGTAAGTCTTTATTCATGGTCTCCAATAAAGTTGGAGAGTGGGTTGTTGTTGGTTGGTTGAACAGCCCCACGGATGAATCCTCCAGCAGACAAATCCTCCATCTCTGCTGCACGAGTGGGGAAAAAAGGGGAGTTTTGGGGGTTTTGGGGGTTTTAACTGCCAGCCCAGAGCCCAGAGGTCTCACCTGTGCTGTCTGTGTCCCCAGCCAGGATGTGTGACATGTACCTGAGGGGGCCCAGCGGGGTCATCACGTCCCCCAACTACCCGGTGCAGTACGACAACAACGCCTACTGCGTGTGGGTCATCACCGCCCTCAACCCCGCCAAGGTGGGTCCTGGGAAGCCTCAGCCAGGGGGAAAAAGGATCTGCTGCAGGCCCTTGACCAGCAGGATTTCAGCCCCCAAAGGGCAGAGGGTGAGGTGGGAGGAGGAGGTGTGGGTTCATCTCCCACTGTTTGTGCAGTGTTGGTAATTTATAAGCAGGTCCTCTCTGGGGGTGATTCCAGGCTGGAGAGAGCAAGGTCTGACTGCCTTGGCCTGTGAAGGATCAATTCCTTCCCATTTTCCACTGGCAGTGGAATTGCAGTTGAGGGCAATGTTTGGTGCCTCAGCTTTTTCCAGCCCTTCAATCTCAGCCCATGTCCCTACTCCAGATCTGGGTGGGAACACGAGGACGAAAATTACTTTGCTGTGTGGCTGAAAACACACTTCCCGAGGTGTTATTCCCTGGTATTCCCTGTATTTGCTCTCAGGAGGTGACAGGTCTCCTGAGTTCCCACCAGCACCACCCCTGTTAGCTCCAGAGGGAATCCTGCAGCCCAGGGCTCTGAGCATCCCTGGTTATTCCCAAAGGAGGGAATCCTGCAGGGCTCTGAGCTCCAGGGGTTATTCCCAAAGGAGGGAATCCTGCAGCCCAGGGCTCTGAGTTCCAGGGGTTATTCCCAAAGGAGGGAATCCTGCAGGGCTCTGAGCATCCCTGGTTATTCCCAAAGGAGGGAATCCTGCAGCCCAGGGCTCTGAGTTCCCAGGGTTATTCCCTCAGGGATGTTTTGGACCTGCTGCTGAGCCAAGCAGGGCATTTCCCAGACGTGTTGCTGCCCCAGGACCTCGTCTTTTTGGCTGGGAATTGTTGGGAATTGTTAGGAATTGCTGGCAGTGCCCTGCTGTCACCTCCCCTTGGAGCTCATGGCTGAAGAACCTGTTGAGTTCCCTCTCAGTTCAAGCCTTTAACAAGCCCAGATCCCTGGTGGATCCTGGTTTTATTTAGGAGCAACCCTCTCTTCCATCTCCCAGGGAGGTTGTACCCCAGGCTGGCATTAGCTGGGCATGGTTTGGCCACCCAGGAGCACAGGAATGACCCAGATCCCGGGAAATGGGATTGTGGAATCAGGATATTCTTCAGTGCTGGTTCATTAGCAGTGATTTAGTGGTTAATGAGCCCCAGGGGGTGGGATGTGCAGTGAAGGACAGGCCACTGTCTCCTGTCTTCCTGCTCAAGTGTCAGCTGTGCCTCCATCCCGTGGCTCCTGGATATCCATTCCCAGGTTATGGAATACCCACCAGCTTGGCCTGTGGAATGTGTGTTGTGCTTTATATGTAATTTTTTTGTGTGTTTGACTTTAAAAATCAGCAACACCCAGTTCTTGTGTGCATAAAAACAGACCTCTGGGTTTGGAAAGAAGTCGTGGGGAGCTGGATGTGGACGTAGGATACACTTCCAGTTGGGATTCCTGTTAAAAATAGGAAGGAGGAGGTGGAAATCATCATCAAAATCCACCCATGGGCCATGTCCAGTGTTTCACTGACCCTTCAGTGTGTTGTTTTGTGTTGAATATTCAAGTCTAACCCTCAGCTCTGTTCCTTTGCTGTTCTGCCAGTCTTGGGCCCAAAGTTTTCCAGCTTTTCCATCAGCACTGTGGTGGGATAAGCTTCTCCTCTAAGCTCCCTGGGCAGATTGTCTCCTTTCTCAATGGAATTTCTCCTTAGGGAAAGCTCCTCTTCCCCTGTTTGGTTTCTTCTTCAGCTTTTAACCCTGAGTAATAATGAACTGTTGATTAGGAAACAGAATCTGCAGGTCCTGATCCTTTCATAGAGGGGGATGAAATTGGGAAAATCCATTCATTTTGATATTTCTCAACCCAGAGCAGAGATTTAACAGCAGCAGAACTGCAGTTTGTGCTCCCTGGGCTGCACATCATAGATTTTAACAGTGAAATATGAGTGGATTGGTTAAATCAACAGCTTTTATGGGCTGTGTGAAGAGACTCCCTTTTCTGCGAAGTGATAACTAGTTAATTAATAATGGCAGTTCTAGAAAGGTTTATAAATTTATAAGTTTATAAATTTTCTGGGTTTTTTTTTTTTCATCCTGGAAGTGGAATTTCCAGGTAGGGAAAAACCTCTCCATGCCTCTGAAGCAGGGAGGGGTAAGAAGGAAGGAGGTTGAGAAGGAAGGGATTTGGGAAGGCCCTTAAGGGGATGATCCCAGTGTGGATCCCCCATTTCCCAGTGTGGGTAAGGGAGGGATTGAGGCTGGATTCACTAAAATGCCTGTAAAATACATGGAATATGAGAAATCTCATGTGGCTGAGCCAGGATCCTGCTGAATTCAGTGTAATCTTTTTATTGACTCCAGTGGTCCTTGGATCAGGTCCTGTTACATGAAGCTTTTAACGTGAGCCTGGAGAACCAGGGGAGCTGAATTTAGAGCTCATTTGCAAGTCCTCTGTTCTATATTTGGAAAAGAACCCTCAGCCAGATTCACTGAGCCCCATAATCCCCTCCAAGTTTTGCTCAGAATCCTCCAGCAGCAGCTCTGAGGGCAGAGAGCTCCTCACTGACAACTTGCAATTATTCCCCAGCCGGAGGGTGACATCAAACCCATTTGGGGGGATATTTTCAGGCTATTGGGATTTTTTTTGTGCTGGTCCTTGGTGCCCTGGGAATGAGTTTCCACCACACAGTGGAAAAAAATAAATCACTGGGGAGCTAAGAAATGAATATGATAATTGGGGGATTTGCATAAAAACGATTTCTGGACCTTTTTTTTTTTGCCATAATGGATGTTCCTGGTTGATGTTTCTCCCGGGGTTGTTCTCACCTGGGGTCTCACGAGCTAAATAAATGAAGCTCTGTCCAAGCTTTTTTGGGATGGAGGGAGATGGGCCCCTGCAGGGGAGGATTCATCTCAAATTAAGAGAAATGTTGGAACCTGGGGAGAAGGGGGAGATGAGTAACGTGCTTGTAAAGCATTTCAATGTAACTGCAAGAGGTGTTTTATGGAGGGAATTATTGGGGTTTTTTCCCTCTGAATGTGACTGCACTTCAAATCACTTGGTGCCACAAAGCTTTAGGATCAGGTGTCACATTCCAGCCCCATTTTCTTGGCTTTGCTAATTGCTTCCTGTCACTTCAGCAGCTTAAAAATGGAGCTTTTTGTGTCATCCCCGTGTGTTTGTGTGTGCTGGGAGGGCTCTTGTTGGTTTAATGAATCATTAAATAATTTTCAGCTTTCGGAGCCAAAAAAAAAAAAAAAGAAAAAAAGAAAAAAAAAATAGGGAAATGGATAAATAAATATTGTATTCAGCATCCAGTTCCTGTGCCACAAGGTTACAGTCTTGAGTGTGCTAGAATGTAATTAGTTGTTTAATTAGGGTCAGGCTCCTCAGAATGCAGCTCACTTGAGTGGGTGATTGAACTAATGATGTGTGCAGCGTTACAGCACCGTGTGCTTTGTATTAATTACATTATTCCATCATTACAGGCTTTAATAACGACCTGCACAGGTTAATATTTGGGTGCTGCCACTCCAGTTAATGGTTCCACAGTTGTCTGAAGGATCTCACACGAGAGCTCCTGTTTCACCATCCCAGGGCTTGGGGGAAAACTCTGATTTTTCAGGATGTCGTGGCCAAAATCCCTCATTTCTGGGCATTTGAGAAATATTGTGTTTATGTGTAGGAGGGGGTGGCACAGGACAGCTCAGCCTCACCTGTAGAAACACCATTATTTTTTTTGCTTTTGGTTTGAACTTTAAGACTTTTATCCCCTGTGTTTGCAGGAGGTGCTGCTTTTAATAGGTAAGAAATGAAATGACAGAGAGCAGGAGTTTGGTTTTCCTGTACCTTTGGTCCTGGCCCTGAGATGGGCCCTAAGATGCCCTGGGGTGGCATCAGGTGCCTGTGGGCCTTGGCACACACGTGGCTCCTCCTCCTGGATTCCTTTTGATAATTCTATGTTGTCTAAAATAGCCCAAGGACTCAAATTTGGTGATTTAACCTGTTAAAAGTGAGGAAATGGAATGTGTTTACAGGCACCTGCACAAAGGTCTGATGATCCAAGTGCTTTCCTGGCTCAGGTCACTTAAAGAGCTCCAGAAACCCAAAGCTCCATTGATTGTTCTGGAAAACACTTCTGGAAATGAAGTTCTCTTCCTTTTCTGTTTGGTCAGCCTGGATTAAGGATCCTTTGTCCCCTTAAATCATGTTGTATTTGAAAACAAGAGGTTTCCAAAGCAGCTGAAAGGTTTGGAACCCAAACCTCTTGGTGTCCATGGGGTTTGTGCTCTGTGGGGGCTGCAAAAGTGGAGTGGGGTGGGAAATTTGGGTGGAACAGGAGGGAAAACACAGGACACAAAGAACTGTGGACAGATGTGATGATGATGATTGTGTTTGCAGACAGCCTGAGACAATTTCCCAGTGGTAATTCATGTAAATCCTCTCTTGGTCTGACCAGAAACCAGGAGAATTTTGGGAGAAACCCAGAGCTAAAGACTCTCCACTTGCACCACTACCTGTCTGCACAGACAGGATTTCAGGGTTGGCAAGGAAAGGGCAGAGGTAGCTGGTGAAAGAGAAAAGGAGCCTGCTGGAGTCCCAATACACACCTTTTTATCAATAAAATCATCTGGGAAATCAATGGATAAGGCAGAGAAATCCCAGAGGTGGTTTCAGGAGGAGCTCAGTCCGTCTGCAGGGAGCTGCTCCAGGGCTGGAAAGAGCCAGGACAGTCACCTTTGGGGATGTCCTGGAGATATTATGGATGCTCTTGGAAGCTCCAGAGCCAAGCAGATGGACAGGCAGGGCAGGGGCTGGCTCTGGCTCCCGGGGTGGGGGGTTCCTGTTAACGTGCTGCCTCTTTGCCAGGTCATCAAACTCACCTTCGAGGAATTCGAGCTGGAGAGAGGATATGACACCCTGACAGTGGGGGATGGAGGCCAAGTGGGAGACCAGAAAACTGTGCTTTATGTGTAAGTAGCATTTCCTGAGGCCCCTGGGGGAGGGAAACCCAGCCCTGGGCTTTGCCTGAGGGGTTGGGATGGAGGAGCCCCCCCCTGCTCCCTGTCCCTGAGTGAGGGGTTTGTGCTGCTTGGCATTTTTGGGGGCTGTTCTGGCGTGTTCTCCCCTGGTCACACTCTCTCAGCTCTTCCCTCTGCACCTCATTTCTCCTGAGCTGCCTTTGGGGAGCCCTCAGAGAGGGGCTGAGGGTGTCCAGGGAGGTGAGGGAAGAGGATAAAAGCTGGAATACAAGAAGAACTGCAGCTCAGGCAGGATCCAAGGACTGTTTTTTCTCTCTCTCTCTCTCCTGGGCTGTCCTTCTGTGCCATCCTGTTTACCTGTGCAAGGTGTAAATCCATTACCTCTGGGTGAGACACCCCTGGGTGCATTGGGGTAAATGATGCCCCCTCAAGTCTGGGATTTATCCCCCCCAATTTGCATCCTTTAGGCTGCACATGTGATGTTCTGGGGGGGTTTCTTCAGTGTTGGAGACACAGAAATGGTCCTGCTTTCCTTCCAGGCCTCTCCAAAACTCCTCCAGCCAAGCTGTTGTGCTCTTGCCAACTGGTGGGAGGGTGTTATATTGTTGTTTTTTTTCATTCTTCCTCTTCTCTTGTTTTTCCCCCACAGATCAGCCTCCCACTCCATCTCCACTCACATTCCTGTTTCCTTGTCTTGCCCAAACCTTTGTTTTCCCCGAGGTTCCTTTTCCTCCAGGTTTCTTCCCAGCCCATGATCCTTTGGTCAGGAGCTCCAGGAATGGGCAGGCTGATTATTGCCCAAGTGTTTGTAATTAAAGTGTTCCAGAACATTTCACAGCTGGTTGGTCAAAATGTGCAAATCACTGCCAGGGGAGCAGTTTGTAAGAACCTGCTGAAACAATTCCTCCTTCCTCCCCTTTGGCTTTGCCTGAAGCCCAAGGAAGATTTTCCTGGATTTGGTTGTCGTCATTCCATGTTTTCCTCACTCTGCATCAGCCCCCCAACCCCTGGCCAATGCAAATGTGGAGTATCTGGGACTGGGAAAGGTGCAGTGTCTGGAATCTTTTCCCAGTGCAGGGGAACTTCCAAGCAAATTCCTGATGCTGATCCTAGCAGGAAATTTTCTTTATTTATTTATTTATCATCTGCAAGGATAAGTTGTAAGGTAATTAAATGTGAGAGAGGTGTGAAGAGCACAGAAGTATTCCAGCTGTAATTAGTGTGCACTTCTCCCACTGTCACCTGGATCCAGGTAGATCCACTGTAGGGTTTTTTGAGGAATCAAAACACAGAAACCTGATCCTGTCAAAGACAGGAGTTCCAATTTTCTTGCTGCTCTTCCTTTCTTCTTGGCTGTTGAAGAGGAGCTCAGTTCCTGCTGCCTTTCAGATGAAGGAACCCTCTGGAATCAGCTTGCACAGCACAGCCACCATCCCAAAACGGAGCCAGGAAGGACCATTTGTCTCCAGCCTCTCCCTCATCCCTGTAAAATTTATCTCAGGGAACAGAACAGATTGTTAGGCTGAGCTTTTCTGACTTGCAGAGAGGATTTTATTCCCTAAAGTAACAAGCACCCAAATCAATCACTGGGCTTGTTAAAGTGGAATAGCAAAGAATGAGGGAAGCTTTGAAGCTCCCTTTTTTCCTGAAGGTTTTTCTCTTGCTGTGCTCCTCATTCCTGCCTCTCTGCTGCTTAAATACCTGGAGAATCAACAATAACACCCCAGCACTCTGCAGCAAACTCTTGGGGTACAAAACAGGCATTAAAACGAGATCATTTCTTCATTTCCCAGCGCCCTGGGATCAGTAAAATTCCTGGTGCAGGTCAAAGGGATCCCGGAGCAGAAGGTGGGGGCAGAGCTGGGAGGGCTCTGATGGGCTTGGGAGAGCTGGTTGTGCTTTTCCAGGGAAAAGCACCCTCTGGATCCCACAGCCAGGGCTGGAGCAGGGGCTGGGGGCAGGTCTGACACTGGTGGGTCTGGGGAGAGGCTCTGGGATGGGGAGGAGGGTTCTGTGCAGGTCCTGTTCACCTCAGATACCTGAACTGGAGAGACCCTGGCACTCCCAGGGAGCTGCTGGGAATTCCTGGAAGCTGAGGAAGCAGCTCAACCCTTGGAGCAGCCACAGAATCCCAGGCTGGTTTGAGTGGGAAGGGATCCTAAAGTTCACCCAGTGCCAGCTTCTCTGGGCAACCTGTGCCAGGGCCTCCCCACCCTGTCCCATCCAGCCCCTGCACATCTGCAGGAATTCAGATTTAAGCAAACACTGCAGAAAAAAACCCCCACAAACCCTCATCTCTCCCCTTGCAGGAGCTGCACTTTAATTTCTAAATTCATCCCATATAATACCTGAGCAGAAATAGTGCAATAACAACATTAAACACTGCCACTGAGACAGGCAACACAACAATCCTGCTGCTGGAACAATGATCCTTCCCACACACTGCTCCTGTGTTTGCAGGGAAGGGAAGGAGCTGGAGCCCTGGAAGATGCTCCTGGGGGTGGGGGATAAAGCTCCAAAGCTCTGTTTAACTACAACGAGGTGATTAATCCCGGGGCTGAACGAGCCACGAACGGCTCGTTAACGGGGATAGATTGGTGACATCTCCCTAAATCCCCTCAGCTCCCCTGGGAGGATCCTGGAGGGAAGGAGACCTCCTGATCCCTGGGATTAGCAGCACTTCTCTGGGGCTCACAGGGTGCTCAGCACATTTGAGGCTCCTGCCTTGGCTTCCAGGTGGTTTTTTTGTTTGTTTGTGGGGTTTTTGGTTTTTTGTTTGTTTTGGTTTGTTTGTTTATTTGAGTTTTTTGTTTGGTTTGGTTTTTTTTGTTTTGTTTTTTTAATCATTATTTATTTATTTTTATTTTTAAAAAAATTTAATTTTTTTGTTTGGTTTGGGGTTTTTTTGTTTGGTTGGTTGGTTTGGGTTTTTTGTCTTTTTTTTTTTCCAGATCCTTTTACAAACTTTTCTCTCAGGGTGGAAGCTTTGCAGAGAACGTGTGGGGAAACCAATCTTTCCTAATGCTAAAAAACGCTGTCGAGGCAGTTCAGGGGGTTCACTCCCCGGTTTTTGGGTTCTGGGAATTTTATTTGTTTGCTCGTGGTTTCGCTCCGGCGAGAAAGAAAATGATTGCTTTTGATGCTGGATAATACATTGTGATAATGGCACCAAATTGTAATTATTATAGTGGTGATGATGATAATTTGCAGGCCCTCAGCTGTGGTAAAAGACTCCCAGTGCAGGTAGAATGCAGAACAGACAAGGAAACATTTTCCAGACAGTCTGGAAAACGCAGCAGGTTTTTGGGCAGTGTCCTGGTTTGGGGTGATTCTCAATTGGTTTGGCTGTTTTCTGGTCCTGCAGAGGCATCTCTGGCCTTTATTCTGGTGGCTCTGGGAGGCCACCAGAATAATTGTTGATTTGTCCTGCTTTCCCTTTGCAGCCTGACGGGCACCACCGTCCCCGACCTCATCGTCAGCACCCACCACCAGATGTGGCTCCTCTTCCAGACAGACAGTGTCAGCAACCTGCTGGGCTTCAAAGCAACCTACGAAGGTAATCCAGGCCCCTCTCCCAGAATCCCTCTGTTTTAAAAGGATCAGGGCTGGGATGAGTGCAGGAAAAGGAGGAAGAAGCTTCTCTATTTATATATCGAAGCTCTGCAGGTTTTTTTTTTTCTTTTCTCCTCTAAGAACAGCTTTCCTGGGTTCTTTTCCATCAGGGCTGACTGGGTGGGGACTGTCTGGTTGCCATTTCATCTGCTTTGTTGGAAAGGAGCTGGTGAGGCTCAGCTGATGGTGACAGATTGTGTCTGGGGGAGGAAATGATGAGATGGAGTAATCAATGGTTCCAGTGGATCAGGGGTGTCAACTGCTTTACACTCGGGTAGTCTGGAGTGTTACAAATGAAACGAAAGTTAATACAGGGATTTTTCAAAGGAATGCATCAGGATGTGAATGCTGAGGTCTGGCACGAACTTGTGTGTTTGCTGTTTGTCACAGGTGTGAGAGAGTGGGATGGAAAAGTGTCTCTGTGAGCTCCAGGAACATTTCAGCCTGGCTTTTCCCGGGGCCCTCATTCATTTTTCAAAGGGTTTCTCTTGGATTTCCCATGTTTCAGGGAATTGTCATCTTGTTTTCGGGGCCCAGGGTGGTGCTGGGGGATGTGAGGGCACAGAATTAGGGGCCTGAGGGACCTGAGCCACCAGAAAACTGAGCTGGCCCCAGTGCCAGTGAGTGCAGGGAGGCTGGGCAGGACCTCAGGGGAATTAGGGTGATGCTGGAATATTTACAGGATGGCAGGGCTCAGGTCAGCAGGAAAAGTCCTGGAGGAACATAAACGAGGGAATTGAGGGAAGGAAAAGGCAAATCCTGATTTTCCAGGGAGCATCTTCACGGTACCATTTCAGCCTCAGCAGTTGGGACTGCCCAGCCTGGTGGCTCCGGGCTCTGATCCTGCCCACCTTGGTGTGCAGCTGGTTTTTGGCAGCCTGGCAGAGCTGCTGCCCCCAGACCTGCCCTTGGAGGGGGCACTGCAGCTCTGCTGGGAGTGATCCCTGCTCCCAGACCTGCCTGCCTTGCTGACCTCATCCCGAGGGCAGTGTGACATGTTCCCCGTGTCTCCTGATAAATTTGGTGTTGCAGAGCCCATGATGGAGGGACTTCTCACCCTGTTGTTCATCTTGGGTGAACTTTGGGGCCACAAGGAGCCTGAGTTTTCCCTCCTCTGCCTTGTTTTGATGTTGTTGGTACCTTGATCTATGGCCAGGCCGAGCTGCTCTCGCTCCCTGTGACCTCCCCAGTCCATCATCAGTCGTGGCCTGGACTCCTGTGGAGCTCCCAATGTCAAATGTGCTTCTCCCTTTCCTCCTCAGCAGCTTTACCTGCTTATTTGCACCGAATTCCAGGATCACTGAGGTTGGAAAAGACCTCCAAGATCAGAGTCCAACTGTGCCCCCTCCCCCCTTGTCCCCCAGCGCAGAGCACTCAGTGCCACATCCAGTCCTTCCTTGGACACCTCCAGAGGTGGAGGCTCCAAACCTCCCTGGGCAGCCCCTGCCAAGGCCTGACCACCCTTTCCAGGGAAAAATTCCTCTTGATGTCCAACCTGAGCCTCCCCTGGCACAGCTTGGGGCCGTTCCCTCTCCTCCTGTCCCTTGTTCCCTGGGAGCAGAGCCCGAATCCCCCCTGGGGTTGCAGAGCCAGAAGGTCCCCCCTGAGCCTCCTTTGCTCCAGGCTGAGCCCCCCCCCCGCTCCCTCAGCTGCTCCTGGTGGGATTTACAGTAACTTTTGTGATTCTGTGAAATCTTTTCCCTGTTTTTTTTGCCATCTTTACCATTTTCCCAGCACTTTCCTGACCTTTCTGGGTGGATTTGGGCAGGAACAAACACACACAGGGCTTAAACTGCCCCCCTTCCACCAACCAGGGCCATAAAACTCCCACAGATTTTGCAAGAGCTTCAAGTTCCAAAGCAAGAGGCACCTGAGTGAGAGGCAATTGCCAATTGCCAAATGCATTATGAAGTTATGTCCAACTTCTTAACAAGTTTCAATATCAGTTTTATGGCTCCACTTCCTCCTATTTGTGAGCAGAAAATTGCAGCTGATGGAGCTGTGTAAAGTCAGGACCCAAAAATCTGCTTGAGAGAAGGGCAGGGATTGCTTGTAGGGTGTGTTTAAATAACCATCCATCCTCAAAAGTGGAAGTTTCAGTGTTCATTGGGAGGGGAGTGTGATCCCAGAGCCTGTTGCTGTGCTGGAACACTCACACCCAGGAGATTTATCCATGCACAGCTTCAAGGACCTGTTGGAAAAATGTGCTGAAGAGGGGAAAAAAAAAAAAAAAAAAAAAAAGAAAATAGGGAAATGGATAAATAAATATTGTATTCAGCATCCAGTTCCTGTGCCCTCAGGTTTTTACTGATGGGTTCTGAGGAAGGGGAGGGAACCAGCCAGGTCCTTTTTCTTCACTGGTGAGTAAAGAGAAAGCCCATTTGCAGCAGGAAGAGTGTGGAGAACACCAGGGATGTGGATTGGGGTTTTCCAGATCTGCACATGAGGATGGGATGAGTTCAACAGAAATGTTAAAACTAAAAAAAAACCACAACAGGACAACCCCAAATTTTAATGCAGTGATATATTTTGTTGTTTATGTTTTTAATAGGAAGGAAGAATTTAAAATGAAAGCTAGAATTATAGACACACACACACTAATGTAATTTGGGTTTCTGTTGGAATTGGGTTAGTTTGGGTAGAGCTGAGTAAAGTCTGTGCTCCTGAACCACCAGGGGATGATTAAACAATATTTATTGTGTGGAAATGCTGAGTAAGTGTTTGGCTCTGGCTTGCTCAGCTCCACACTGGAGTTCAGCGCCGTGGTGCTTAAGAGGCTTAGGAGCTCTGCAGGGCTGGAGTTGGGAGATTTCCTCTCCTCAACTTCCTGGCTTTAATCAAATTGCTGCAGCCCCAACCTGCTCAGAGGAGCTGTTGCTTTGTGCAGCCCTTTTTTACATTTGTTTTAGGCCTAAATACAGTTCTGTGTTGAGGTTTTTTTTGTTCAGCATCACCTGAGCCTCACTATTGTGGCTGGGGGGGGTGAAGGATTTCTGTCTCCACTGCTCTGCTTTGCCATTAAATGTATTGACTCGTGTCCTAAAGCTGAAATAGTGCTTAGCCAACACCAGGGAGGCTTTTTAGCTGATGATGTTCTGCCCTGAGCTGCTCTCAGGGTCGGGGAAACTTGGATTTCAGTCTCGTCTGAACCTCCTGGCAGCGATTTGATGTGAGGCCACGGGGCTCTGTGAGCCAGTTGGGTTCAGCTGCTGCATTTGCTCTGCATTTGCTGGTGGTAGATGTGGCAGAAAGATCCTTTTCAGTTCGTCCCCTCCTCGTTGGGTTTGCTCTCTAGACCCCTTTTTTCCTCGTTCATACAACCCCAGAATGGTTTGGGTTGGAAGGGACGTTAAAGCTCCTCTCATTCCAACCCCCTTCCATGGGCAGGGATACCTTCCCCTCCAAGGTGGTTTCAGAGCTGGACAGTCCTTTTGTTTGGAACTGGATGATCCCTTTTTTTGTCCCTGTTGTGGTTTGAGACACCCCCCAAAAATCCAATTTTCAAGCCCCCCACAATTTGTCTCAGTGCGAGAGAGTTTTCAGACAAAACACATCTACCAGCACAGGGAAATGATATCCAAATTTATTACTGACCCAATAAATATTATAATACATTATAATGCTCCCTGACACCATTAACTCCAATGAGTTTAAACCAAGTTATTCCTATTTTCAAGCCCCACACAATTTGTCTCAGTGCGAGAGAGTTTTCAGACAAAACACATCTACCAGCGTGGGGAAATTATATCAAAATTTGTTACTGACCCAATAAATATTATAATACATTACAAACAACAATTCTAGCTCTCTCTCCTATGCTAAAGCAATATATTTACATTAGATCAAATCCCTCCTTTCCCTTGGAATCCCAAAGAATGAGGCCATAAGAACACCCTGGGCCTGGTTCCTTCCAGTTCCTCCCTGACACCATTAACTCCAAAGAGTTTAAACCAAGTTATTCCAAGTACAATGTTAAGTTTAAACCAAGTTATTCCAAGTGTGAAGTGTTTTCTTGACTCTGTTCTGACTGGGGGTGACATTTGTGTGATTTCCTCAGGCCTGGCCCCCAAAGTGCTCCCAAATCCTTCATCCCGTGGCCGTTTCTTCCAGAAACTGGAATTTTGCTTCCTTGCAGCTCAAACCACTTCATTTTCCTCCACAGCTGAGTCAGGCAGGAGCAGAAAATTCCCAGAGAACTCCAGGAAAAAGAGTGGCCTGGATTTCAGGTGCCTGCAGGGTTTGTGGTGGAGGAGCAGGGAGGGTTTTTCTCTCATTAGTCCCTGGTTCCCTCCTCTGCACAGGGCCCCAGTTTCCCCACCCACCACCAAGGAGACAAACAGCATAAATAGCTGCTGCAGAATTCCTGGTGAAACATTTGCTGGGTAGAAAAAAAATGCTGTTTTGTCAAAATTTTGTCTGTATGAATAATATTTGATGGAGAAGTTTTGAAAGATTCGTGTCGACTTGTTTCGCTTCAATAATGTCAAAACATTTGATTTGGATGTTCTTGTTTAGTTTTGACTTTTATTATTCTAATGTGGAAGTGATTTTTGCTTTAAACATTCATCAGGAGAAATGGTTCAATCTCATTGAAGTAACATGTTTTGATATTTCTAAATCACTCCTTTTTTTTTTCCTTTTTTTTTTTAGTTTTTTTTGGAACTTCTGCCCTGCTAAATATTTCATAGATTTTACTACCTGTGAAAAAAAAGAAATGCAGGAACCAGGGGGATTTTTTTTCCCCTCAGATCAGAAAATGGAATTGCTGAATAAATTCCATTTTCCTGACCTCTGCAAGGTAACAAAACGTGTGAGCTGCTAACAAGAAGGGGGGAAATGTGCTCTGATTCTTCATTTCTGTCCATCCTTAACCCCCTGGTTTCACATTTCATTTTCTCTGAGCTCAGTTCATGCAGAGGGGCAGAAAAGGGTGACACAGGCAAGGGGGTGAGGGGGAGAAACACTGAATTTTGTGCCCCCAGAGCAGCTGTGCTGCCTCATTTCTCCCTCAGCAGAGGCTCAAAAGGCTCTGATTTTACTTTGCAGCATTTTTCCCGAGTCCCTGACACCCCAAGCATGTCCTTTTTTGTTTTACAAAAGCACTGAACACCCAGAGGTCCCTTTGGCTCCTCCTGCAGTTGGAGCTGCCCCAAAATTCCAGCAGGGAATTCCTGTGTCCAGCATCCCATGGGCAGTGTTGCCTGTAGGAGCTGAGAAAAAAAAAACCAACTCCAAAGCAATTTAATTGAGGATGAGATAAGAAAAGGGTTTAATTTGTGCCTAGGCATGAGATTACAATTTATAATATTGCTTGTCCAGTCCCAAGTGTTTCCACCCCCTGGTCCACCCCCATCCCACCCCCTTGGAATTGGGGCTGGGGGGCTTTTCTTCATCATCTTCATCTTCTTCAGAGCACAGAGGGTACAGGGTCAGCCAGTTCTTGACTGTCCTTTTGTGGTTCAGGCCAGGATTAGATGTCCTCAAATAGAAAAGACTATAAACATTTTCTCCTGGAATTCAGGGGATATTGATATGGGAGCGTGGAATGGGGTATGTAGGGGTTGAGGAATGTGTAAACTGCTGTGCTAAAGGGTAAAGGAATGAGGGCTGCTGCTTCTGAAGTCTACTTTTGCTACTTAACTACTTATAAAGCTTATAAAAATTAGAAAAAAAAAAAAAAAAACAAAACTGGAAGAGTCTTAAGGCATCAGCAGGAACACCTTCCACCAGCCCAGGTTGCCTCAGGACTCCAAGGTGTGGGAAGGGAAGGAATAACAAAAGTGGATTTTTGAGGCGTTTGGCTCACAGCAGTCTCAGTTTCCTGCATCTCTGTCAGACACAACGATAAATGTTTAAAATCACCTTATTCCCATTCGATCTTGTTACTGCTTCTTGAGTTTTAAAGCTGAATTTTCATTTCCTGGTAGATACCATTGGCCTCCTGCATTTATTTTTTTTGGAGAGGAATTGTGGTGGTTTGAGATCCCCAAAAATCCAATTTCCCAGTCCAAGCTCCCCCTCCCACAACTCACCCCAGTGCAAGAGGGTTTTTTTCCAGACACAACACAAGACTCAATATGGGTGGAAGGGAATTATATCACACTTATTACACAAATAAATATTATAATACATTATAGACACAATCCTAACTATCCTATGGTAAAGCAATATTTACATTGGATCAAATCTCCTTTCCCTCCCATAAAAGTCCAGAAGAGGGAAAGATCCTTTCCAATTTTTAGGGCAGCAGTGTCTCTCCTCTTCCATGCAGCAGTCGTGGCTGGAGTTGTTGTAGCTGGAATCTCTCTCCATGACAGGAATGTGCAGTTCAGTGCTGCTGGAACATCCCAGCTGGTTTATTTTTCATCCCCTCCCGTGCCAGTGCAAAACCTTAAAAACACTTGGATTTTCGAAGTCTGCGGGAAGAGACATAAATCCTGACAAAGTGCTTTTCACTGAGAAACCTATTTTCCACGAAAAACTTTTAATATTAATTTATGTTAAATTATTTTTGGGGATGCTTCATTACCTGGCAGCGACTTTTCAGTTCAAGATGCAGAGAGAGCAGGAGCAGGAGCGACGTGCCTTGGGTGACTTGGTGCTCTAAAATACACCTGGATCCCGAGTTGCCTTGGAGTCAGAATAATAATGAGGTGCTTGTTGTTATTCGAAGCAAATTGGAATATTAGATGGAGCTGTGCAAATCTCGGATCCCACCGTTCCCCTCTGTGAAGGAAAAAATGTCATAAAAAGAGATTTCCAATTTGGCGCAAGAAATTGAAAACGGGGAGGAAAAGACAGCGAGGCTGATGGGAGATGATGGGGATAAAACCTGCAGCACGGGCAGGGGGAGATGAGTGTGAAGCAGATAAATAATGTGGGAACACTGAGGAGGCTGTGAAGGAATGAAGTGTTGGAGCTAATAGTGATCCAGAGCAGGGGGCCCTTTGGAAATGGAATTGTACAGGGAAGGAGATAACAGAAAATTGTGTCTGGGGTTTCTTGGCTGGCACAAGGCCCACGGGATTAGCTGGGTCTGGGCAGGGAGGGGAGGAGAGGTGACAATCCAGCAAAACCCCCCTGTGTCCTCCAGGCCAGGGGAGCCCAGGGGCTGGCCCTGGGATCATCATCAAGCACAAGTCCTATGAGGAGAGGCTGAGGGAGCTGGGGCTGTTCAGCCTGGAGAAGAGGAGGCTCAGGGGAGACCTCCTCACTCTCTGCAACTCCCTGACAGGAGGGGGGAGCCAGCTGGGGGTTGGTCTCTTTTCCCAGGCACCCATCAGCAAGACAAGAGGGCTTGGTCTTCAGCTGTGCCAGGGGAGGTTTAGGTTGGAGATCAGGAAGAATTTCTTTGCAGAGAGGGTGCTCAGCCATTGGAATGGGCTGCCCAGGGAAGGGGTGGATTCTCCATCCCTGGAGGTTTTTAAGGTGAGACTGGATGTGGCATCAGTGCCATGGGCTGGGAACCACAGCGGGGTTGGATCAAGGGTTGGACTGGATGATCTTGGAGGTCCCTTCCAACCCAGCTGATTCTGTGATTCTATGATTCTATGATCATGGAATCACAGCCTGGTTTGGGTTGGAAGGAACCTTAAAGCCCATCCTATCCCATCCCACCCCCTGCCACGAGCAGTGACACCTTCCACTAGCCCAGGTTGCTCCAAGCTGACCTTGGAGACTTCCAGTGATGGGGCAGCCACAGCTTCTCTGGGCAACCTCCCTCCCAGGGGAGAAGTGTTTCTTCCCAACACCCAGCCTAAACCTCCTCTCCTTCTCCCCAAAGCTCCAAGGCTGAGGGAGCAGTCAGGAGGTGGTGCCAGGGCTCTATCTGCTCGGGAGAGCAGCTCCCTGCCCAGCAGGCTCTGTCCCAGCTCCTTCCCCACCCCAACCCCATGTTCTGTCTTGCAGAGATCGACCAGGGCAGCTGCGGCGATCCCGGCATCCCGCCCTACGGACGCAGAGAGGGCTCCACCTTCCGCCACGGGGACAGCCTGACCTTCGAGTGCCAGCCTGCCTTCGAGCTGAAGGGCCAGAGAACCATTACCTGCCAAAAGAGCAGCCAGTGGTCTGCTCAGAAACCTGTGTGTGTGTGTAAGTCAGGGAGGAGGCGGCTCCGGAGCATCGCCCGTGTGTGTGAGCTGGTGCTGGGGACAGGGGGGTGCTCTGTGCTCTCTGCCGGGGGCACAGATGGCACCAAGGGGCATCTGCACCCAGCTGAAGCCTTGGGGAGAGCTTGGTTGGGCTCTTTCCTGGGCAGAGGAGGGATGAGGAGCACGGAGCAGCGGCCAGGGGGAGATCAGGGCTGTGCTGGGACTGTGTGCTCTCCCTGCTCTGCCTCGGGTCCCTTCCAGGTCCCTTCCCTTCTCCAGCTGGTTACTGAAGGAAAACTGTGCTAACTCGGGTGAGGTTTGTGCTCCCGTGGTGGATGTGACATTCCAGCTGAAGTCTGCACTGACCTGTGGCTGAGGAGATCATTAAGCTCATAAATGGGGCAGCAGCCCCATAACTGCAGCTCTAGAGTGGCTCAGCCCCTGTGGGGAGTGCTGGTGGAAGGCTGGGCAGACGTGGCTGGGGACAGGGGTGTTTTAGGGGGGCCATAATTCCAGATGCTGGGTGGGAATTGCTGGTTAAACATCTTATGTACAGTAGGGACAGGCTTGTTTTCTGATTTTATGGGAAATACAGCAGGGGAAGGCCCTGCTGCAAAACGTTTATGACCAGGATTTGTTCCAAAATTTGTGTTTCCTTGCCAAGGAAAGGGAGATGCTCTCACAGGGTTTCTGCAGCAGTTCAGTGAGGCTTAAAAGGTCCTTTGCTCTTCTTCCCCAGCAGTTTCCCTTCCTTTCTGCTCCTCCTGCTGCCTGTCCCTGGGGATCTGTGTCCTGCAGCTCCTGAGCTTTCAGTCCTGCCCCTTTCCCAGGGGGTTGGCTCATACCAAGCAGTGCTGGCACTGGACATGATTGAGGGTTGTGGCATAAACTGTGACAATAAATGTCACTGGGAGCACCTCACTGGAGCCAGGCAAACTTTTGGCCCTGGTTTAGCTGTTGCTCTGGGGGGGTCATTCCAGAAAACACCTGATTTTCTGGTGCCTGTTTAGTTGGTGCACCTCAGGCCTGTGAACTCCAAGGTTTCTGGACCCGCCGTGTTCCCCAGGGAAACAAACCCTGGGGAAATAAAACAACTAAAACTCTGTGTTTTGTGAGCCCAAACAAGAGGGGTTGGAGGTTCCTGCCCCGAGTTTGGCGTTGCTGGGGGTGGGGATAAACTCGTGTTTGTGCCTGTGTGTGTTTGACTGGAGGGGCCTGAATTTGGGCTGGGCTGTTCCAAGACACTTCTGGATTCCTCCAGGCTCTGCTCTTGCTCTTGCTCTGCTCTTGCTTTAGGATCTCCATTATTTTCCAGTGGTTTTCCTTTGGTTGTGTTCCTGTGAACTCTGTGTATTACTGCTTAGAGCAGTGCTCGTGCCTAATATTCCCCTGAACAGAACAGAAGGCTTTTCCCAAAGCATTTCCAATTGGAATTATGTTAAATTGTGTGCTTGCTTCCCCTGGCCCTGGAGCAGATGTTGTGCTTTCTTCCCCTCTTGTTCACTTGAAATCCTCAGCCACAGCCCATTTCTCCTCACAGATCCGCTCAAGTTGCTTTCCAGTCTTTTAATATCTGATTTTCCTGAACAGCAGTATAAAATATCTCATCTCCTTAGTCATAACTACTCCCCTTTTTTTTTTTTTTATTAATCCCATACTGGCCTCTTAGACCTGCTGAATAACCTGAGCTCCCCTTTGGAAGGATTGCAGCCTTCAGTGTGGAGCTGAGCTCTGCCTTCTGGGAGCCCTGTCTGGGCCAAACCATCAGGGTTGGGACCTGGAAATGCAAAGTGCAGTGGATGTTTTCCCCAGGAATGTGCTGAACAGAACTGTGTCATTCATGTCACTCGACAAGGTTGTCATTTTAGCTCTAAATTGAATTAGCAATTGGTCTTTATTTTCTCCCTTTCTCCCTCTCTCTTTCTTCTTCTCCTTTATCCCCTTTCCCCCTTCTCCCTTTCCCTTCTCCCTTTCATATTATTCCTTTTACTCCCTCTTTGTGCAGAGCTGATGGAACAGTTTATATTAACTCCCCAAATGTTTCTCCCTCCTGCTGTAAATGTTTTCTTTCTCCCCTTTCTACCACTGGACTCATTTACCTGCCTGTAGATGCTGTTGCTTTTAGTGGGTTTTTGGAAGAAGTGCAGGAATTCTGGTCCTTGTTATTCCAGGCTGTTTTGTCATGTGGGGTTTTTTTAGTTGTGATTGATGCTGCTCCCATTTTCCTGGTGTAATGGCAGGGACACCCTGGGATTATCTTTGCCACCCAAACTGGGACAGGGGATGGGGGCTGACCTTACCCTGCCCAAACATGTCACCTCTGGGCACAGGGCAGGGCACAGGTCACATCCCAGTCACATCCCAGCTGGAACCCTTCCCAGGACACAGGTTTGTCACCTGCTGAGCCCAGTTCCTGGCTTGGGTGGTTTCTGCAGTTGTTCATCAGCTGTAAATCCACGAGGACCCACCAGCACCTTCCCCCTGCCCTCGACCCGAGGGGTTCAGAGCAGCAAAGGGCTGGGGAAATGCTCCTTATCCAACCTGTTCCCCTGAGCCAGAGATCCAGGGTGTCCCTGCAGTGAGGGAAGCAAATTAAATGAAGGCAGGATTACCCTGATCTCTGTTTCCATGGGGGATTTGTAGCTTTTGTTAACAACCTTGTTTCACGCTTGCAGCCATGTAAGACCGTTCCCTTCCTGATTTTAAGCAGGGCACTCTCTCTCAGAGCCCTTGTTCTGCAGCCCTGGTTTATAAAGGGCTGAGATTTAAATGTTTGCTTAAGCAGACAGACGTGCTCAAGTGCTGTGCTGGGCAGGAATCACTTCAGCTCCTTCTTAATGATGAGGAATCAGGTTATAATTGTTCCCCCATGAGCTCCTCAGGCTTTTTATTTTTGGTGTAACCTCACTGGAGCCAGGCAAACTTTTGGCCCTGGTTTAGCTGTTGCTCTGGGGGGGGAGGTCATTCCAGAAAACACCTGATTTTCTGATGCCTGTTTAGTTGGTGCACCTCAGGCCTGTGAACTCTAAGGTTTCTGGACCCGTCGTGTTCCCCAGGGAAACAAACTCCAGGGAGATAAAACAACTAAAACTGTGTTTTGTGAGCCCAGACAAGTCCCTTTCCCTCTGTGGGACTGTGAGAGGGCCGTGGAACCAGTCCCTGCTCCTCCTCCTTGGGGCTTTTCCCAAATAAGGTGCTCATCCTCCAGCATCCCTCTTGTCAGGTGAGTTGGGAGGTGTCCCCTGTGTCTGAGGAGAGCTGGCACTCCCCTGGCTCAAACCAGAGCCTGGTTTCTCCTCAGTGTTCCTTTGCCAGCAAGTTCTCCCTGGCAGTTGTAGAGCCACAAGCTGCTCTGGGAGCTGTGATGAATTTTTGGGGTTTTGGGGTCCTCAGCAGGGAGGCTCCTCCTGCCCGTGGCAGAGCTGTGCTGGGGGGTGTCCCCTCTGTGCCCACCCTCCCCTGGGTGCTGCCAGCTGCCCTCTCAGCCCTCAGCAGCAGGATGCAGTTCCTTGGGTTGTCTCCACGCTGTTATTTCCCTGATTGAACCGGTGGAACTGCTCCCCTGGGGGGGTTTTGTGCTGCTCCAGATGAGCTGTCCTGTGCCAGGGCATCTGTCCCTGTTCCTGGCAGCAATTGCTCTGCAGGGTGGCTCTGATGGGCTGCTCCTCTTCTGATCTGAACTGGCACTTCCCTGGCTTTGCCAGGAGAGGAGATTGTCCCTGTCCCCTTCCCTGTGTCCAGGAGGTGGGATGTGGGGGGTGTTGTGTTGCCATCCCCAATCTGGGCTGCAGGGAAGCTCCTTTCTTTAATCCAACCCTCTCCACGTGGGGTTGGGGTTTGAGGAGGCTGCAGTGGGACACTCCCAGCTCACATGGGATGGAGCTGTCGGGTGGGAGTTTGTCTTTCCAGGCTCTTTCCCTGCTCCCCAAGTGTGAAGCTTCAGGTGTGGCTGAACCTGCCCAGGCTCTGCTGTGTTTCACACTTTGGGGGGTGTAACCCTTTTTAGGGTCACAGCACTCACCCCTCATCCCTTTGGGGTGTCAGGACTGTGTGGGGACAGTCCCATGCCAGGCTGTTCCCTGCAGCACTTGGCAGAGGGCTCCAAACCCTGCAGCACAGGAGGGATGAGCTGCCAGAGCAGCACAGCCAAGGCACAGACAGAAACCACTGGGCTCATTTGGAGCTTTTGCCAAAACCTGGGAATTAAAGCTCCATCTTCCTGTGGCCACTGCCCCCATTCCCAAGGGGCTGCAGGGAGGGGGAGAGTTCTGTTTCCAATCCACGGGCACATGGGAGAGGATCTTCCTGCAGGACCTTGGAGCACCTCCTGGGCACAGATGGCTGCAGGATCCCTGGCAGACACAGCCCAGCCCTGTCCTGGTGTGGATCAGCAGCTCTCAGGAAGTTTAAGAAACTCTGAGTTGCTCCCAGGTGCTGTTTGAGAGGTTTTGGAACCTGCTCAGAGGCTCCTGCACAGCCTGGTTTAAATCAGTGATATTTTCCTCGAGTTTTGGTGCCCAAAACCTGCCTGCTTTTCATCCTTCTTGACTTCCTGCTGTCCCAGCCCAGTTCAGCCATTCCACCAGAGTGAAATGAGGAGTTTGTTGCTCTGAAATCCAAGAACTCCTGGTTAATATTTGCTCCAAACTCCTTCCCTCACCTCCCACTTGCCGGAGGGTTTGGAGGAGGGAAATGCACCCTGGTGCAGATGTGTTTCTGCAGACACAGAAAGAGGAAAATGCAAAATATAAAGCACTTTGCTTCCCAGCTGGAGCAGTGCCCTGGGCTTCCAGCACTGTCAGCTCCTTGGGATGTGTGCTTCCCAAGTGAGGAATGCTGCTGATTAACCAGGCTCCTGCTGAGCTCCTGTTTTTCCACTCCATCACCAAGCTGTGCCTAGAGCAGGGATCTTCTTCAAAAGGGAAGGGAAGGAGAAAATCCACTCCTGTCTCCAAGCTCTCTCCCAAGTGGTCACAGTCTGTGGGAACAATATCTAAAAAAACTGAGAGAGAAGTCAGGACTTTTTATTGTTTCCATGGAGACTGCAATTATTCTTACAGTGGTTTCCTGCTGGGTTTTCCAGCTCCTGTTCCCACGGTGTGACCTCTCCCTGGGGTCAGCCCTGGATCCTCACGTGCAGGGTGAGCGGGGCTGGAGTGTCTGGGGACACCAGGTGTGGCCTCATGGGAGGAGAGAGGTTGTTTGTGGAGGAGCTGGGTCTTTGGAAGGCAGAATAAAAGAGAAACAACTTGGGAGAGAGAAGATTTGGGTGAGACAACTGCAGGAATTGCTCCTGATGGAGGTGGTGGTGAAGAACTCTTGGGTTCCCCTGCATTCAGCCCAGCCTCAGGCATCACCCCCAGGGACATGGGACAGTGTCCCTGTGCCACATCCCCCTGTCCCACTCGACTTCCTGAGCTGTTCCTTCGCTCTTTTCCTGCTCTGAATCAAAGCAGAACCTGGATGATGGTTGTGATGACTTGAACAAATCCCTCGTGCTGGGCCCTTCCTGCCTGTGCTCTCTGCTCTGTCCCTGCTGGCTTCTGCTGGGATTTATTCTGCTGCATTTAATGAAGGGATTTTTCTTATTGCCTTTGCAGTGCTTGGTCAGTAATAACAATTATTGACAAAGATCAGTGTGGGCTTTATGAACGGGACTCTGTGCTGTGCTCATAATGAAATGTCCTTTTCTAACATTTAAGAACAAGGGTAATAAATATTAATTCCAGGCTCTGAGGTTCTCAGGGCTGTTCCCAGCTCAGGGATCCTGATGGACAGGCTGCAGGCAGCAAGGCTGACCCCTGTCATGTTGGGAATCACTGCTGGCTCCTCGGGGGCTTTTTGTTCCTCGCTGTCTCAGCAGCACAAACAGCAGGAGCCAGGCAGTGCTGGGCTGTCTCCCACCTTTCCTGGCTCCAATCCTCCCTCTGACAGCTCTTCTCCCTGCCTGTGACATGTTGTTAAACAGCTCCTGCCTGGATCCTGGTGGCCAGCACTGCAGAGGGGCTGCTGTGGATCCCAGTGCAGCTCCAGAGCTGAAACATCTCCTCATAGGGAAGAAAAACCCCCTCAGCTTAAAAAGATGAAGGAAATTGTCCTATCACAGGCACCAGGATCTCGTTGAGGATCCCTCTGGACCAACTGTGGCTTCCTGGGCTGGATGTTCCCCTTGGGAAGGTGAAGCCAAGCTCCTCTTCCCACCAAGGAGAGCTTGGACCTGGTTCTTGGCCTTTGTCCTGCAGCCCCAACTTGCCTTTCTGCTCACTGATCTTATGGCAACTCCAAATCCTCATTTGCTCCTCTGCAGTGGAGACTTTTGGAGTTGTTTTTTGCTGGGTTTTTTTTATCAGCTACTTTTTAATCTGTCACTTTGTTTTATCTAGCAAAGGTTAATTTTATATTCTTCCCTCACCCTGCCTCTGCCTTCCCTTTGTCAGCAAGTTCTTTGCTGTTGTTATTTTGTGAGCTGAGCTGTGCTGCACCTCTCTCTGCCTGGCTGGTGGGATGCTGTAGGTCCTCTGGCTGAATGCTAATTTACCACTTGGGGTTTAAAAATTTATAGGAGACACCTCGTTCCTGGGAGGGGTTCCTGCCACTCACGTTTCCCTGGGTGTGAATGCAATATTTCTTAGGCAGATTATACCCTGCTTATGCTGACAGAATTATTTGACAGCATCCCCTGATATTTCAGCTTCTTGTAAAGAGCCCAAATCCTGAGGATATTTTGCAGTTTGTTTTCTCTCTAATCTGTTCCCTTTGTTGCTGAGAGCAGGGAATAGATGGTGTGGCCTTGATAACGTCATGGTAACGTCCATTTATTGGATCCCAACCCATCCAGTGTTGAAGGGAAGGCAGAGGGAAAATAACAGAGGGAGGGCTGAGCAGTGATCCAAATAATTGTATAAATGCCGAACTCAGCCCAGGCTCATCCTCTGCTCGATGTCCCTTTGCCAGGAATTAGGGAGATGTATGTTCCCAGTAATGGGTTTTACCAAGGGTGATGGGGGGGAAAAAAAGATGAGCAGAGCATCCATACATAAAATATCCCAAACTCTGGGCAGGTACCACTTGAGAGGCAGCCTTGCTTTTCCAGGTTAATGGGCCTTGTCAGCTGCAATACAGTATATATTGAAAACCCTGGAGGGCTGAAGGTTTTTTTCCTGCACACTCTTCCCCTCAACTCCACTTAAAGGAGGTTTGATTGTTTTCCTGGGAATTGCAGCCTGCTTGGAGGCCTCTTTTCGGGAATGTGCTGTCCCAGCAAAAGTCAGTGATTTATTTGTGATGGGAAGAGGAGTTTCCCCCTCCCCCTGGGGGAATTGTCCCAACCCCCTGGTGCTGGGGGGGAAACTTGGGAATGTTCTTGGGCTGCTCCTCCAAAGCCTTCCTTTCTCAGTGCTCACACAGCTCCAAAGAGCTGCCCAAGGACATAAATTGGCTCATGGCTCCTTCTCAAAGGACTCAGCAATTTATTACTGGACCCCAGAAATATTTAATGCAGGATGGGCACGGTCTGGGTGGAAGGAGTTGAGTGAATGCAGAGGGGTCACACCTGCTGAGGAGAATGGGGGAAAAATGCATTTAGCAACGGGAAGGTCACCTGAAAGGGCAGGGTTTATTTTTTTAAGCAAATCCTGAGAAGTCTGCACTGCCCTCTGAATTATCTGCAGTTGGCCCAGCAGTTTAAATCAAAAAGCTTGGCTGTGGGCAGCAGCAGAGGAGAGGCTGGAGCTGTGCATGGAGTAAGGGCTGAGTCGGTTCCTTCCTCCAGGTTCTTGTGCCACAACAGAAGACGTCGCTGCAAACTCCAACTTTGATTTTATTTTGGTTTTATTTCGATTCCGTCCCATTGGAATCAGCCCAACTCTCCAACCTATCCAGGCCCCTCTGCTGCCTGGTTGATGGGGGGTTTTTTTGTTGTTTTTTTTTTTTTTTCCTTGCAGTTTCCTGCTTTTTCAACTTCACCAGCCCGGCGGGGATCGTGCTGTCCCCCAACTACCCCGAGGAGTACGGCAGCAGCCTGCACTGCGTGTGGCTCATCATCGCCAAGCCCGAGAGCAGGATCCACTTGGCCTTCAACGACTTCGACGTGGAGCCCCAGTTTGATTTCCTGGCCGTGAAGGACGGCGGCACCGCCGAGTCCCCGGTGCTGGGCACCTTCTCAGGGAACCAGATCCCCTCCTCCCTGACCAGCAGCGGCCACGTGGCCAGGCTGGAGTTCCAGACCGACCACTCCATGGAGAAGAGAGGCTTCAACATCACCTTCACCAGTGAGTTTGCCCCCCTTTATTGATATTAAGTTGCTCGTTAACGTTTATAGCTGCTTCTGAGCTACACAATTAATTAGCATTTGAGTTGGCATGAAGGCAGCACACCCTGCCAGCACTGTCCTAGAGAGGATACCCTCTGTGTGGTAGGAAGGAATCCCAACCACACACCGAGTCAAAAAAAAGGTTGTTTCTTCTTCTCTCTGAGGCCACAGGAACACCCTAAATGCAGAGAAAGATAATGGCTGTGAAAATATGGAAATCTTACAGTGTAAGTAAGAGATAAACAAGTTTTAATTTCTCTTGAGCTAAAGCAGCAGAAAAATGAATCTACCTAGCACAAGAGTCTTGATGGACAATCAAGGATGATATCATAGAATCATAGAATATGCTGAGATGGAAGGGACCCCTGAGGATCATCAAGTCCAACTCCTGGCCCTGCACAGGATTTGCTGACAACTGTCTTGCTGAGGACCTAAATGCTGAAATGTCCCCTGCAGACCCCCCTGGTTTGCATTTCACACTCTGAATTCTTGCTGGGAACTGATGGGCGAGAGATCAAGCTCAGTAAAGCTGTTGGGATTCCAGAGGAAATCTGGAAAAGTGGGGATTACCTCATATTTGCAGTTGGGTAAATTGGGGATTGGTGGCAAGCTTAGAGCTGGTGGCACAAGTTCTTGTCCAGGAAAATAACCCAATGTGTCCCTGGGTTATGTGTCCCTGGAGCAGCCAGGGTTTGTGTTCTCCCATCAGGAGATGTGTCCATGGCTTTACAAGAAGGCTGGAGAGGGACTTTGGGCAAGGATGGGTAGTGACAGGACAAAGGGAAGGGCCTTAACCTGAAGGAGGGAAGGTTTAGATTGGATATTAGGAAGAAATCCTTCCCTGGGAGGGTGGGGAGACCCTGGCACAGGTTGCCCAGAGAAGCTGTGGCTGCCCCTGGATCCCTGGAAGTGTCCAAGGCCAGGTCAGAGCAACCTGAGCTAGAGGAAGGTGTCCCTACCTTGGGGAGTGGAAGGAGATAACCCCTCCAAGTCAAACCAGGCTGTGATTCTGGGATTCTCTGGGCTCCCTGCTCTGCCTCTGGGGTTCAGGGGATGCTCTTTGGGCAGCTCAGTGCTGGTTGTGTTCATCAGCCAACATCCCCCTCCTCTACTGACAGCTAAAAGAGATGCAAGGCTTTGAAGATGAAGGCAAACATGTAGCACTGCCTTATATAACAAAAAGCCTTGAAATTTCCACAGATGGATTTGGCTCCACGTTAAGTCCAGTCTTCAAATCTCCAGTGAATGCCACGGCAATTTTACCCTCATATTGTCCTGTAATTTTCTAAAGAGCATTATTAAACCTATTCAGCAGAACTGATAAATGGCTTTGTTATAATGGCCTTTCGTGGCACAGCTAAATTAATAGCCTTTCTAGCCATGATTGCAAAGCCTTTATTTAAAAAAAAAAAAAGGGGAAAAATCTGAGGGCTTAAGAAAACATTTGCCAAACTTCAGCAGGCTGGAGGCTCCTCAGGTGAAGGAGTTTGTGTGAGGGGGTATCAGAGGCAGGATTGAGCCCCAGATCCTGTCAGGAGGGTGACACCTCACCCAGGAACTGGTGGTGCCCTCCCTGTGCATCTCCCGTCCATCACCCACCCCTAGTGGGAGTTGGGGCTGTCCCCTGCATAAAGACATTTTTAAAACAATTTTTACTGGTGTAAATGGGCTCTGAAGCACAGAGGAATTAATTTGTTCTGACTGCTTGAGGTTCTGAACTGAGCTCTATCTCTATTTTGAGTACTTATAAATATATATATGTATGTTTTCATGTGTGGAGATGTCTGAGGAGGTGACTTGGTCCTGCGGGCTCTTCTCTGGCCCTGTCACTGCTGGATCTCAGCCCCTCTTGGGTCATCATCATCATCACCATCATCATGGCCAGGCTTTGCAAATGAAAATTTGGGGAGGGCTCAACTGGTTTTAACCTCATCCCTCCCCTCAGGCTGCAAAGAAAACGCTTGGGAACTGAAAAAAAAATGAAGTTTGATGTTCAGCCAGCTTGTTTTTTGGGGCAGGGGTGGAGGGAAACGAGACGCTGACCCTTCCCTTGCCTCCCTTTTTCCCCCTTCCTTCCTCAGCGTTCCGGCACAACGAGTGTCCCGACCCCGGCGTGCCGGTCAACGGGAAGCGTTTTGGGGACAGCCTCCAGCTGGGCAGCTCCGTGTCCTTCCTGTGTGACGAGGGTTTCATCCGCACCCACGGCTCCGAGACCGTCACCTGCGTCCTGCAGGAGGGCAACGTGGTGTGGAACCACCCCGTGCTCAGGTGTGAAGGTCAGTCCAGCTGCTCGGAGGGTTCACGGGGTGGTTTGGGCTGGGAGGGAGCTCAGAGAGCGTCCAGTGCCACCCCCTGCCCTGGGCAGGGACACCTCCCACTAGCCCAGGTTGCTCCAAGCTGGCCTTGGACGCTCCCAAGGATGGGGCAGCCACAGCTTCTCTGGGCAACCTGTGCCAGGGCCTCCCCACCCTCACAGGGGACAGTTTCTCCTCAACATCCCACCCGAATCTTGCCTTTCCCAGTGTGAAGCCATTCCCCCATGTCCTGTCCCTCCAGGCCTTGTCCCCAGTCCCTCTCCAGCTCTCCTGGAGCCCCTTTAGGCCCTGCAAGGGTCTCTCAGCTCTCCCTGGATCCTTCTCTTCTCCAGGTGAACCCCCCCAGCTCTCCCAGCCTGGCTCCAGAGCAGAGGGGCTCCAGCCCTGGAGCACAAGTGCTGTGAGGAGAGGCTGAGGGAGCTGGGGCTGTTCAGCCTGGAGAAGAGGAGGCTCAGGGGAGACCTCCTCACTCTCTGCAACTCCCTGACAGGAGGGGGGAGCCGGGGGGGGTTGGTCTCTTTTCCCAGGCAACCATCAGCAAGACAAGAGGGCTCAGTCTTCAGCTGTGCCAGGGGAGGTTTAGGTTGGATATTAGGAAGAATTTCTTTGCAGAGAGGGTGCTCAGCCATTGGAATGGGCTGCCCAGGGAAGGGGTGGATTCTCCGTCCCCGGAGGTTTTTAAGATGAGACTGGATGTGGCATCAGTGCCATGGGCTGGGAACCTTCTCCAGCTCTCCTGGAGCCTCTTTTGGCACTGGAAGGGGCTCTAAGATCTCCCTGGAGCTTCTCTTCACCCCCAGCCCTCCCAACCTTCCTGCACTTGCAGCCAGGAAGGACAGAGATCCCCTGGGATTTGCAGCCTTTTGGGATCAGGGATCACAGCTCTGCCTGTCACATATCCCACAGTGAGGGTGTCCTGGAGGACCAGGATTTTCCCTGGCTCTGGAAGGTGTTGTCTTTGCACAGCAGAGTTTCCTCAGCAGGAAGTGCCAGTCCAATAATAACAAACCCCTGGTTTGTTTTCCAGGTTTGGTTTTTTTTGGGAAGTGAATGCCGGGGGTTTACTTTTATTGCTCAGTTCTTGTTACAACAGGTGTTTTTTTCTAATAACAGGAATAAAAGGTTGTGATTTAGGGATGGCTGAAAGCTCCCCTGCTGCTCTTGTCACGAGGGAATTAAACAACAGGCAATGGAAGATCCATGGTGGTGTTTTTCTGTCCTGATTTTTTGAGACATGTAAAATGTAGGATGTTTATATAATGAAGGAAGTCCTGTCAATGGACTTTGGTGGTTGAGAGCCTGAAATTTTGCATTTACATCTCTTGGCCACCACAGCCAACCCAGATGTGGGGGAGATGGGCTAAATTAAAGGCCCATATACAGATTTCAAAGCTTTTTTTTAGTCCTTTAAAGCTTCTACTCCGGAAAAAGAGAAGGGAAGAAAGAGCTCATTAGGAGTGGAAAGTCTTCCTTTGCCCTCTGTTCTCAGGGAAGTGATGCCCTGCACTGGTGTTTTCAGCAATTTGAGTAGCAATTGCTGTGCTCTTGAGAAATAGTCCTGGAATATTGAGCAATAATTTCAGTAATTGTCATGTGTAGCTCGAGTGGATGAGCAGCAGAAATTGCACAATCTTGCCCATTGTGTTTGAGGTGGAAAGAAGAAGGTGTCAATTGTGTTCAACAAGTTTTATATAATAAGAAAACCGGACTTTTTATGTTCTTATATAATTTTTCTTTGGCTGACAAAAGGTAGATTTAATTCAGGGTTCCCATTACTTTCAAAGCACCAGCCTTTAAGTTTATGTATTTTTAAGTATAGGCAGGAAACATACATTAAATAATACACTTTTAATCAACTTTTCTCTCTGGAAGCTTTGATAACCTTATACCATCAACTTGTCCCTTTTCCTCTTGATCACAGTGGTGAGTTCTTTGACTTGCCCTTCAGTCTGCACTGGATAAGTGGACATTTTAATTACCCTTTTTAAACAAGGAGGAAGCACAGAGATCTAAAGTCCTGTGTAGCACTTGAAAAAAATTTAATGGGGAAGAAAGAGACCTAAAAAAAAAGGAGTTGAAAGATGGGGAGAAGCCCTGACAGGAGATGATGTGGCTTTGGGGCAGAAAGGAGCCTCTCGTTCAAAAATAATTGCTTTGGATCCAGTTGAGATCAAATGACTTTCATCTGCCTCCTTCACATCAGCAGGGGGGGATTTTAGGCCCGGACTGACATATTTTAGGTCACTCCCAGGGTGACATTGGGTGGCCCTTGGGCTGGCCCTGGGTCGGTGCTTCAGCAGCTGCTCCTCAGAGCTGGTCCCACAGGCCCCAAGGACAAGACCTGGCAGTTTTTTGAGGGCTGTAGGATTTTTCCACCTCTGGTCCATCAGCTCCAGTGTCTTTTTTTTTTTTCCCCCAGAAAATATAATAAGAATATACCTTCAGCTTCTGCTGGTGGCACGAGGGACCACGGTGTGGAATAAATGCCGTGCTCTGGTGATGTCCCTCGTGGTAGAAAAGCCACGACTCAATTACCACAGGCAGGAAAGGATTTCTGGCACCTGCAGCTGCTGAAATGCAAACTGACCTTGCAGATTCCTCTGCTTTTATATCTAACAATTATTATTACACCCTGTCCCCTCAGAGCCACTGCTCAAGGTCAGGCTGCTGGCTCCCCCAGGGACAGGAGCAGATTACTGTGTCTTCATTCTGAGCTGAAAAGGCAATTTCTTACCAGTTCCTGTTGGTGTTTCTGATTATTTTTAACAGGTGGGAGACAGCAGTGCATGAAAGCTTTGCATGGCAGGATGGTCCTGCCTTGGCAGGGAGGGAACATCTGATGGTGCTGCAGCTTCTGGGATGCTCTTCACCCAAATTTAAACCTGTGCAGACGTGGCACTGAGGGACATGGTTTAGTGGGGGACTTGGCAGTGTTAGACTTGATAATATTAGGAGGTTTTTTCCAGCCTCTGTGGTGGCTGATTGTGTGAACTGTGCCATTTCCTTGTCCCCAGCACCCTGTGGTGGCCACCTGACGTCGCCCAGTGGCACCATCCTGTCCCCTGGCTGGCCTGGCTTCTACAAGGACTCGCTGAGCTGTGCCTGGGTCATTGAGGCCCAGCCTGGCTACCCCATCAAGATCACCTTTGACAGGTGCTCCTCCAAACTCCCTCTCTGTGGGTGTTCTGGGTGGTTCCCGGGGGGTTGAGGTGCAGCCAAGACGAGGAACGAGCTGCTCCGTGCGTGTCTGGCACCGAGGTTCTCTCCTCCCCTTTTTTATTTATCAACTGACAAGGCATTAAAATTCACCTGAGATTCAAGTAGAAAGGATGGGAAATAGTGATTTTCCCCCTGTTTTGACTCACTCCTGCTCCTCTGCAGTGTTATTTTAGGCACGGGTAGGACACGTTTTTGGAGGCTGAGCCTCCCCCGCGTTCCTGGGGGAGCAGCAGCGGGGAGGATCTGCTCCAGCCTTGGGAATGCTGAGTCTCTTGGCTTCCCCTGGATTGCACAGCTGGAGGAGGGGCCGTGCTCTCCTGACTCCTGTGTCTGGGAGGGGATTGTTGCTGCAAGGACTGGTCGGTGTCAGCAGATGAGGGAGGTGAGGGGTCAGCAAGAAACACGGGACTGACGGGCTCCAGGGAGATGCTCAGGCAGGAGGAAGGCCCACACCTCTCCCCCCCCCCCCCCCCCCCCCCCCCGCCTCCCCCCCCGGGTTGGCCCACCCCCCCCCCCCCCCCCCCCCCCCCCCCCGTGGCCTGTGCTGCCTCCTGGTTGTTCCAGCTCCCTCAGGGCTGCAGTTCAGCAAACTGAGCCACACGTGGGGTGTTCAGTTCCTCCGTGGCCCTTCCAGGTTCAAGACGGAGGTGAACTACGACACGCTGGAAGTGCGGGACGGCCGCTCCTACTCCTCCCCCCTGATCGGGGTCTACGACGGGACCCAGGTGCCCCAGTTCCTCATCAGCACCAGCAACTACCTCTACCTCCTGTTCACCACTGACAAAAGCCACTCTGACATTGGCTTTCAGATCCGATACGAAAGTGAGTGCGGGTCCTCGGGGTCGTTCCGTGTCATTCCGTGTTCTCCAGCAGCACAGTGGCCTCAGTCAGGGGCCCCTTGGATCTCCTTTCCCTCTGTGCCAGGCAGTTCTCACTGCTCAAGGGCTGGGGAGGGAGAAGCTGCACTGCTTTGTGCCAGTGGAGGAGCAGTTTCTGCCTTTTCTGGAGTCCTGGAATGGTTTGGGTGGGAAGGGACCTCAAAGCTCACCTTGTTCTAACCCCTCGTTGTGGGCGAGGGGCACCTTCCACTGGACCAGGTTGCTCAGAGCCCCGTCCAACCTGGCCTTGGCCACTTCCAGGGATGGGGAGTCCACAACCATTGACCAACTTGGCTGTTTATAGAGAGTTTTTCAGGTTTTATTTTAGCACCTGCAGAACACCGTTGATTTTAGGAGGCAGGGATGAGTTCCCAGAATCCCAGAACATCCTGCCGTAGATCCCACACGGATCGTCAAGTCCAGCTCCCGGCCCCGAGAATCCCACCAGTTTCTGTCTCTATTCCATCTCTGGAGATAACTTGTAGGGTTTGGGGTGAGCTCTGGGAGGGGCTGAGCAGTGACTGAGGCTTTGTTGGCACAGCTGTGAAGCTCCAGTCCGACCACTGCCTGGATCCCGGGATCCCGGTGAACGGGCAGCGCCACGGGAATGATTTCTACGTGGGAGCCCTGGTGACCTTCAGCTGTGACTCAGGATACACCCTGAGTGACAGCGAGGCCCTGGAGTGTGAGCCAAACTTCCAGTGGAGCCGCCCCCTGCCCAGCTGTGAGGGTAAGGACACATCTGCAGGGAGGGCAAACCCCGCCCTGGCACATCTGGGAATCTCCCAGTGACATCTGATCCCTGTATTTGGTTTGATTTTTGAGGGGCTGGGCTTTGTTTTGCCACCTGGAAGAGCTGATGGCCCTCATTAGGGGGTTATTTGAGTGGTTCTGTTCTCTCTCTGCCCTGTCTGCAGCTCTCTGTGGAGGTTACATTCGTGGCTCCAGTGGTACCATCCTGTCCCCAGGCTTCCCAGATTTTTATCCCAACAACTTGAACTGCACGTGGACGATAGAAACATCCCATGGAAAAGGTGAGGAGCCTCCAGCTTGGAGCGGTCTGGGAGGCCTGAAGGATGGTGGTGGGTGGGAGAGAAGCTGTTCCCTGTGTAAACTAGGAGTTTCTCTCAGTAGTGATGGTGCCCACGGGCTTGGCCAATTCTGCCACCACCCAAACCTTGTCTCTGGATAAGATGCAGAGGATTTTGGTGTCAGAACTCATCACCCTTTCAAAGTGGAGAGGATTAAGAGGGGAAGGTGGTTCTCTGTCAACCACAACCTGTGGCAGGTGTTGTCTTCTGTTTCAGACCTTTGTGGCAGTATCCTGAAAATCAGGGGAGAGAGAGAGAGAGAGATCTGTAGATTCAGATATCCTGAAATGCAGTGTTTGGATGCCTGGAAATGCCAGGAATGTCCCACAGAGGAGGGAGGAGCTGCCACTGCCATCCTTGCAGGAATGTTTGGTGCTGATTTTCCTTTGCAGTGCTGGGTCACTGTCTGTGGAGCATTTCACAGCTGGAGAAGTGGGAGCATGCAGGAAATCATTCCCAGGCATGGGATAGGACCTGGACTCTCAGTTCCCAGCTCTGCCTCTCCCCTTTTCCCACTGCCCAGGAGTATTTCCAGTGCAGGTGTGTTCAGGCCAAGCTCCTCTTGTCTATTGGAGGAAAAGTCGAGGAAAAGTATCACTGATGATCAGAGAGCAGGTTTGATGAGGGGAGGGGGGTAATTCCTCACGATCCAGCAGCATCTCCTGGGCTCACACAAAGGATACAAAGCCTTTAGATGACTTTCTCACTCTTCCATAACTCTGCTGTCGTTCCCGATACCGGCACGACGGGAGGGATCATGAGCCAATTTGCCAAATTCCATTTGTATTACAGCAAATAAACTTGTCAATGAACGGCACAGTGCATTAAGGGAACCATCACATGCTGGGAAAAGTGTTCTGTGGAGTGGCTGCAATCCACTCTCCAATTAATCCACTCTGCCTGGGCTCCAGCTCTCCGGTGAGACATCGTGTTCTCCCGGAGCCCAGCTCAGCCCAGAGCACCAAACTGGCTCTGTTTGACATGAGAAAGTGCAGCTCTGATGGCCTGGCTGCTTTTATGTCAACATCAGAGGGAATTCTTCAGGCCAAGGCTGGAAAAAAACACGTTTTTTTTTTCTGCTGGCAGGGATATGTCTGTAAATCCAGGGGTGTTTGTTCTCTGGGCTGTGGGAGATGCTTCTGTGCCCAGTTCAGGGCAGAGGGAACAGCCCAGCCCTGCCAGCAGGGCACTGTGGGCACTCCTGGACCATCCAAACAACTCAGCCTTGGGTCTGAGCATCCTGGACTGCCCTGTGGACTGCTTTCCACAGCGTCAAATTTTAACTGAATATTCCATTTATCCCTCCCTCTATCCAAGTGATTTTCGAAGGTTTGCTGGTCACATGGAAACGTTTCCTTCCAAGAAATGGAGGTCAGAGAGGCTGGAGACCAACACAAAGCCTTTCCCATGGAACTGGGAAGCAGGAGGGCTCACAGGGACATCCCAACTTTATCCCTGTGCAGCAGCTCATTGCACCTTGGTAACCTTCCCTGTCCCAGGCAGAAGGATTTGAATGACCCAAAGCAAAAGGGCTCCTCTTGACTTTGACAATTCCTTCTTTATACCCAAGTAAATATTAAGTGGAGCCTGACAGAACATTTTTGGTTCCACTGGTGCCCCCTGCAAAATTCCAGAGAGGCAGGAAGCTTCCAATAGTTTCCAAGTGTTTATTACTCCTACCAGTCAACTGAAAATAGATCTGACCTGTGAGTGAGATGTGGGGAGGGCAAAATGTCTTTAATTCTCCCTGTTTATCATCTGAGAGGAAATTCATGCCCTCAGTTTTACCCAACCCAACCTAAGGAACAAAAATAATATCACCCCACAAAAATCAACCCAACACAAGGGCAGTTCAGTCCCCAGAGCTGGAGAACAACCCCTGACTGCAGGTTTTTTAAGGTAAAAACTCCCAAGCACACGAGGAGAGCCAGTTAAGGGCTGTGGAACTGTTGCCATAAGGGCTAATTATAAACTCATTTTAAAGGATTTGTGACCGATTAAACCTTTGCTCTGGTCTGAAATTTACTGTGGCACAGAATGTCTCTGCAAACACAAGGTTGGTGGGTTTGTTTTGTTTTTTTTTTCCTTCCCATTCTCTGCAGAAGAAACAGCAAAACAAATTATAGGGAGAAGAAATCACTTTGAAGCTCTCAGATTAAAAATAATAGTCTCCCTTTAAGCATTTAAATACCTTTAAAATTAAGCTGCTTTTAAACTCAAATTGTAGAGCTTGTGAGGCCATAAAGTAACTCAGTGTCTGCAGTGACATAAAAATAACTGTTGGAACAGCCAAGTTGGGGCAATTAAGGGACTTGTGTGCTGGCCACGTGTGGGATGTTCCCAAAAACCTGGGAGAGGCCAAAACTTCCTCCCAAGGGGCAGTGGAGGGGCAGGAGCTGATCTGTGAGCAGGGACAGGATAGAAGGGGCTTTGGGAAAAGGAAAACCACAGCAAGGAAAATCAGAGAACGCTCAAGTTGTGTAAATGTGTTCCCTGCTGGCAGCAGAACTGTTCAGACTGCTGGTGGAGGGATGTGTGGGATGTGTGGGATGTGCAGGATGTACAAGATATGTGGGATGTGTAGGGATGGTGTGGGATGTGAGGGATATGTGGGATGTTTAGAGATGTGTGGGATGTTTAGAGATGTGTGGGATGTTTAGGGATGTGCAAGATGTGTGGGATGTGTAGGATGTTTAGGGATGTGTAGGATATGTGGGATGTGCAAGATGTGTGGGATGTGTGGGATGTTTAGGGATGTGTAGGATGTTTAGGGACGTGTGGGATGTGAGGGCTGTGTCTCTCCAGATGGATTCTGAGGAGGGTGAATCCCAATCCTACATGATCAGGGGCTCAGGAGCCCTGCCCTGGGCGCTCAGAAACCGAGCTGAGATATTGGGCTGAAAAAAGCCATATAAATGCAAAGAGGCTTTTTATTGCTCGCCGTGGCTTTGCCTTGTTAACTCGCTGTGACGAGGATGTGACAGGGGTTCTGATCTCAGGTCCTGCCTGCCTTTGCTCCCTCCAAGCTGTTGCTGCCATTTTTTGTTGGTTTTTTATTATTTTTTTTTTATTTTTTTTCCCTTCAAAGATGGAATTATTTTCCACACAATAAGTGTTTCTAATGGCGTTTGAATTCCAGCATGAAAAAAAATCACCTCGCTGGAGGCTCCTGCAAAACCCTGAAGTGCTTCCCATTCTGTGTCTGGAGGTGTGAAGGATACTTTAAGTAATCCATTACTCCTTTCTAGCTCATTTACAAAATGCAGCAAGGTCACAGCCTTCTCCCAAAATGTTTCAAATTGTTGAAATTGAATTTGGGAGACGAGACAAAATACTTGTCCCGTGTTTGTCTGTTCTTTCCGTGGCTGGATCTGTTGTGGGGTTTATTTTTGGCAGTGTAATGCGAATGAAAGTGTAGGATTTTCTTGGAGCAGCCTGCACTAGTGGGAGGTGTCCCTGCCCATGGCAGGGGGGTGGGATTAGATAATCTTGAAAGTCTCTTCCTACCCCAACCATTCCGTGATTTTGTGATTCAGTCCCATCATGGGAAGGCAGGGAAGGTCCCTGCAGTTCCACCACTGACACACTTCATCTTCTGGAAGAGCCTCTCTGACCTTGATACTTGGCATGAGTCCTATTTTTCCAGGTATGAATTCCTTCTGGAACATGCTTGTTTTCAAGTCCTCACAGCTACAGCTCTTGCTGCTCTTGCTCTCTATTTAAAGGTCAATACTGTTCTAATAAAACACTTCTCAGAGCTGCCAGGCTGCTCCTGCTGCTGCTGCTGCTCTGTCCCTGTTCCCACATTTCCGAGGCACAGGAGTCCCACATCCTCACTGCCTGGCTCTGTGCTGGGCCCTGTCCCACACCCTGGCTTCAGGTTTTTTATCTGTTTTGTTTCTAACATGATTTTCCGTGGGATGTCCCCCCTCGCTGAGCTGCTCCTGGTGGGAATCGGGGTGGGCTCGGGGAGAGCCGTGGGAGTGAAACCACCTCTGCTCCTCCTCCCCTGCAGGTGTGTTCTTCACCTTCCACACCTTTCACCTGGAGAATGGGCACGACTACCTCCTGATCACCGAGAACACCAGCTTTGCCCAGCCCCTGCAGCAGCTGACGGGGTCCCGCCTGCCGGCCCCGCTCAGCGCGGGGCTCTTCGGCAACTTCTCGGCCCAGATCCGCTTCATCTCCGACTTCTCCATGTCCTACGAGGGCTTCAACATCACCTTCTCAGGTAAGAGCAGCACTGAGGTAAAGAATTAATCCTTTCCCTTCCCACTTTGCTGCGAATCACAGGATCACAGGGCGGTTTGGGTCGGGAGGGATCTTAAAGGTTCTCTGCTTCCAGCCTGCCCTTGGAGCCTTCCAGGGATGGGGCAGCCACAGCTTCTCTGGGCAACCTGTGCCAGGGCCTCCCCACCCTCCCTTTCCCATTATCCAAGGGTCATCTCTCTATTCCAGGTATTGCTTTTTAGGGGACAAGGAGGAGAGGGGAGAAAGGGTGAAAGCCTGGGATAAAATCTGGAAAAGCAGAGATGGAGGGAGATTTTTTTAAACTGGAACTTGCTGCTCTTGGGCATCCAAGTGGGATTTTTGGGCTGTGGTTCCTCAGTAGCATCATCCTGTGCCATGAGCCATCCCCCAGTGGAGTTTTCTTTCAGTGGAGGAGTTTTTCTTTCAATGGAAAACACACTGATACCCATTTTGCCCTTGGCCATTTTGTTTTCATTCCCTCTCCAAAGAGTTCCATGAATAATGTGATATTTGTTCTCTGCTTCCAGCCTGGCCTTGGACCCTTCCAGGGATGGGGCAGCCACAGCTTCTCTGGGCAACTCATTCCAGGGCCTCCCCACCCTCACAGAGAAGGATTCCTTCCTGATATCCCACCCAAATCTCCTCTTTTCCAGTATGAATCCATTCCCACTTGTCCTGTCCCTCCAGGCCCTTGTCCAAAGTCCCCTTTAGACACTGGAAAGGGCTCCAAGGTCTCTCTGGAGCATCTCTTCTCCAGGCTGGACCCCCCCAGCCCTCCCAGCCTGGCTCTGGGGCAGAGGCACATCCAGGACAGGCTGCAGAGGCTGATCACTGGCTGAGCATCCAAGTGGAGCAACGAGCCAGAGGCACAGAGAGAGACCAGACAGACCATGGGAGTGACCAGCTCTGCCCTGCTCCTTGTCCAAGAAGTCCAGATTGCTCAGCACTGCCCTCCAAAAATCCCATCTGTCCCAGCCTGCCATGCTGGAGAGGCTGTACCTGCTGCAGTGATTTTCCTCAGATAACCAGAGCAGGATTTTCCTCTGATAACCAGAGCAGGATTTTCCTCTGGTAACCAGAGCAGGCTTGGGGGGGAAAGAGGGATAGTGCAGCCCAGGGAACTGGAACTGTGTCCAGAAACAGAGAGGGGAGGATGAGGGGGAGGAGGGAGAAACACACCTGCAGAGGGATTTAATTCCAGAGGGTTCAGTCCTGTCACCCTGTAAATGCTCCCTGTGTGGTGATCTCTGGCTGAAGGGCACACAGTGCTTGACTGTGTCCTCCAGCCTGAAGTCCTGCAGAGGACTCTCAAGTGTTTGCCTGTGCACACATCCCAGGGAATGTCAATCTTTGCTGCCTGAGTGCCCTGACAAGCCATTCCCCAAAAACAATCAGTTAAGGGACACAAGTTTATTGCCTGGGTGCTGTTCTTTAATGCATCTCCGTGTCCTTCCGAGTCCTGAGGCCACAGCTGCGAATTCAGCACTTGGGGCTGGAAGAGAAATGCCCATTTTTATTGTGGGAGCTCGGTGCTGACACACTCACTGAGGGACAGAGCTGTTGCCATAGATGCAGATAAAACCTGGTTTCCAGTGCCTTTGTTCTGGCCTCTGAAGTTCGGGGGATTTGCATGTGATACTCTGTGGAAACCAGTCAGAGAATTTCCAATTAACTTTCATTTTGATGAGGGGGAAAATGGCTTTTTGCCTTTCAAAAGCTCGCCTCTAATTATAACTCTGATTTTCCATGTATTTGGAGGCTGCTTTCCTCTCTTGGAAAGCAAAACTGGGAGCCAGTTATATTTTTAGCTCCCTTTACATGCATATATATATATATATATATATATATATATATATATATATATATATA